TATGATTGAACTGACCACTAACTAATTGAGTGAACTGACCAGAAACTGTAATGAGTGAAATGACCACAAACTGTTATGAGTGAACTGACCACAAACTGTTTGAGTGAACTGACCACAAACTGTTTAAGTGAACTGACCACAAACTGAGTGAACTGACCACAAACTGTTTGAGTGAACTGACCACAAACTGTTTGAGTGAACTGACCACAAACTGTTTGAGTGAACTGGCCAGAAACTGTTATGATTGAACTGACCAGAAACTGTTTGAGTGAGCTGACCATAAACTGTTATGAGTGAACTGACCACAAAATGTTTGATTGAACTGACCTAAGCTATTTGAGTGAACTGACCTGAAACTGTTATGAGTGAACTGACCACAAACTAATTGAGTGAACTGACCAGAAATTGTTATGACTGAACTGACCAGAAACTGTTATGAGTGCACTGACCACAAACTGTTTGAGTGAGCTGACCACAAACTGTTATAAATGAACTGACCAGAAACTGTTATGAGTAAACTGACCACAAACTGTTTGAGTGAACTGACCAGAAACTGTTTGAGTGAACTGACCAGAAACTGTTTAAGTGAACTGACCACAAACTGTTTGAGTGAACTGACCAGAAACTGTTATAAGTGAACTGACCACAAACTGTTTGAGTGAACTGACCACAAACTGTTATGAGTGAACTGACCAGAAGCTTATGAGTGAACTGACCACAAACTGTTATGAGTGAACTGACCAGAAACTTATGAGTGAACTGACCACAAACTGTTATGAGTGAACTGACCAGAAACTTATGAGTGAACTGACCACAAACTGTTTGAGTGAACTGACCACAAACTGTTATGAGTGAACTGACCAGAAACTTATGAGTGAACTGACCACAAACTGTTATGAGTGAACTGACAAGAAACTTATGAGTGAACTGACTACAAACTGTTATGAGTGAACTGACCAGAAACTTATGAGTGAACTGACCACAAACTTATGAGTGAACTGACCACAAACTTCTGAGTGAACTGACCAGAAACTTATGAGTGAACTGACCAGAAATTTATGAGTGAACTGACCAGAAATTTATGAGTGAATTGACCAGAAACCTATGAGTGAACTGACCAGAAACGTATGAGTGAATTGACCAGAAACTTATGAGTGAACTGACCAGAAACTTATGAGTGAACTGACCAGAAACTTATGAGTGAACTGACCAGAAACTTATGAGTGAACTGACCAGAAACTTATGAGTGAACTGACAACAAAAAATAAAGATAATGGGGAGGATATAGGATGAGCTGCATGCGATAGCAAGGATAGGACGGTTTGACGTGAGCAAGCTGACCGACTATGCTCCATTGGGGAATAAAGGACAGAAAAGAATAGAAAAAGTTGAAAGTTTCAAACGGAGTCGTTTGCGACAACTAAAACAAGTACAACGCTTCCACCTGAATCTTTAGCAACGCTGATAAAGACTCTGGTCAAAATATTTAGACGAAACTGTGGCTCTTCCCCGCCCCCCCCCCCCCCCCCCCCCCCCCCCCCCCCTCGTTATAATTTCTGGTCACAGTTTGTTATTAGTTTGTGTTAGTTAATTCTTTCTTGATATATTCTTGTAACATTTTTTTTTTCAACCAACGCGCACCTTCTCTCTGTCCAGTAAAAATCTTCCCCATCAAAGTTAAATGATTTCAAATATGACAGAACCACAGACTGATTATAAAAAGGGGGAAACAATACTGATGAATCAAAATCAAATGCTATCAAGGGCACTGAAAAAGAGCAGAGAGAGAGAGAGAGAGAGAGAGAGAGAGAGAGAGAGAGAGAGAGAGAGAGAGAGAGAGAGAGAGAGAGAAGCACTGGTAAAAGAAAAATTGTGGTACTATGTAAACCTTATACACTTGCATGTGTGGAAGAGACGGGCAATAATCAAGAATGCAGGGAAATACCTCCATGCAGCAGACCTGTTGTGTGCCCGTGCGCCGTGCGCGTTTTCATGCCAGAAGATTCTTGAAACGTGCACAGGAACTGACACATGCTACTGGAGATCGCAAGTTGTGCAGAGACATGATCGCGCTCACCAGTGGCTTTCAAAATTTCGAATGCCGCGACCCTTTAATAGTTTCCTCATATTGTGGCGACCACCAAACAATTATTGTACATCCTAACGTCAATGTTTTTCGATGGTCTTAAGCGACAAATGTGAAATGTTCGACCAAAAAAAGTGTCGCGACCCGCAGGTTGAGAATCAACCTACATTGAAACGGCAAAGAGCTTGAGGAGGACGATAGTGATGAAGAAAATGTTATTCACAGATCTTTTTCTTTGTTCATCGTCTGTAAGCTCCAGTGGAAAGTCCTGGTTGTTGCCCCTTTGGACTTCGTGTCAAGGATTGAGTTTTACGTGTACATCCGCTTTACCGGCTTATTGTGTGCAGTTGATGTGTGTGTCGCTCCACACCACCAGAACCGCGCAACGAGCGATCAACACCCAGTGACACAAAGTGCATCCATTCAAATGAGGCTCACCCTGGCTCAGGTCCCAGAAACCCCATTCAACCGTTAGGTTCTATTAGGGACTCCTGACTACAGCCGGGGTGGGCTTTTGAATACTATTTTAATTTGCATTTGGTTATTCCTTGCCAATCGGGCAGATGATGCCCCCCCCCCCCACCCCACCCCCGCCTTCGAAGGAAGCTCCAAGTTAAACTCTCTTATGGCGGTTTGTGTGTGTGTGTGTGTGGTTTGTGGGGGGGGGGGGTGCAGTGGGTTTATTCTTGTTTTCCCCTAAAATGGCGCCCCGGAACCCAGACGGGGAGATAGAAGATCACATAGGGGCGATGAAACATTCAGATTGCCTAGACAAGTTACATGCGTGACCTGTGGTACAGTGGGGACCGTGCCACAAACGGATACAAGACTACGGGGGTCGTGAGAGATGGCACCCGTGTTTATCAAGAATTGAATCCACTTAATTTTGGCCACACAACGTACAATAAAAATCGGACGTTTTGACCCGTCCGTCTTTCTCGACATAAACCACAACAACGAGGGGTAGAGTATATTGGCCACATGTTCTTGCACGGGAGAGGTGTCACGTGAATGACTATAAAATAAAGGAACAGGAAAAAGTGATGTGGAACGAATAAAATAAATATGAGAGCAAAAATCGTAGAAACGATACCACTAATAATAATATTTAAAAGTTAGTTGCATATCCTTAACAGGATGTTGTAGAACCAACCCCTGCGAAGCTTTATTTTTCTTTTGTGGTTTTTCTAGACAAATGTATGTTCAGTTTGCCACTGCCCAGTGCAACAGTATCCATCAAGTGATATCATCATCCATAAACTGACATCATCATCATCCATCGAGTGACAACATCATCTATAGTGACATCATCATCCATCAAGTGACATCATCATCAATCCAGTGATATGATCCACTGACACCATCAACATCCACTGAGTGACATCATCATCCATTCAGTGATATCATCCATTAAGTGACATCATCATCCATCTAGGGTTGAGATCATCCATCAAGTGACAACATCATCTATCAAGTGATGACATCATCCATCATATGATGACATCATCCATTCAGTGATGACTTCATCCATTCAGTGATAACATCATCCATCCTACTAATGACATAATCCCTAATGTGACAATTTCATCCATTATGTGACATCATCATCCATCAAGTGACTGATAGGCAGGTTTATTGTTTTAAGTTGTGACAAATATTTGTTTCTGACAATAGCTGGCCTTTGCCTTATCTTCTATATGTAGACTAAAAAGAAAGTTTTGTTACTCGGCTACAGAGTGGAGTGCAAGGTGCAACACTGTGAGCTGCGTTAATTTTAAATGCTTTTTTAATTGTACCCAGCATGATTTGTGTTGTGACAAGCAGATTCAGAAAACTGGCGAGCCCCTTTTTGCCACAGAACTGATGGTGCCTTACGTGATTAATTGCATTTCTAGTGTTGGACTGTTTGTGTTGGCAACTGTATGCATTTAATGTGTGACTAAGCTACTGGATTTGCTGAGACTGCACTCTGTGTCAATTCTTTTACAAGGGACGGTGATGAACATTTTGTGTAGTTTTGGTTGACTGATTTACTTATTCAAGAATTGACATCACAGCACACAGGATATACCCATAGGTGCTCTATCTCCTGCAGCAAATGTCTTAAGCTGTGGGTGCTGACTGTTTCTGTGGCACACTGATTATACATGTCATTCTCTTCCTCACATACGTACCTCCTTGGGGGGTCCACAATTAATTCCTCGTTCACACATTCTTGCACATGTTATTTCATCTAATCTTGTGTCAGTTGAATAGTGATTCATATATGGTTTTCAGCATATCTCACAAGAATAAAAGAACTATCTACGGAGGTAACCAGCTTGCTATGAAGTTGGAATTGTGTTTCTATGATTCAAACAAGCATTTTTTCTCAAGGTTTTCTTACCCTATTCTTTGAATGTGTCCTGCCTGCCAACAAACATACATAACTCTTTATGTGGTCATATCGTAGTACCTGATTTTCCTTTTTACATCTCATGTTGATCTTGTTTGGTGAACTAGGAATGCATGCACACACAACTCCTAATTTAGTAAGTTAAAAATAAATAAAAAACATAAATTCATACAAAATACAACACTGCAGCTTAGATCATTTATTTCCACCAAACTAAAGAAGAAGAAGAAGCTGAAGAAAAAGAAGAGGGAGAAGGAGGAAGAGGAGAAGAAGAAAAAGGAGGAGGAGTAGAAGAAGAAGCATAGGAGAAGAAGGAGGAGGAGGAGCAGAAGAAGAAGCGAAGAAGAAAGAAGAAGAAACAGGAAGAAGAAGTTTCTTTTGCACTACTGACTCAGACAACAACAAAAAATTCAATAAGATTATTACTTTGTATTTAGCTGACATGTTTTTATTCTCATGTCGCTTGCAGATAACACTATATTAGTTACATTGATAAAATGTTACATTGAAAATAAACATTTAAAACAGTATCTTTTTGCTCTTTGTTGTAGGTATCAAGCTCTTTGCTTTAAGGATGCGAACAGCCTCTCTCAGGTGACATGGCTGCAGCGGCCCAGAATCATGCCACTTTTCCATGACATCCAGGGCTGAAATTGGAAACATACAATACAAATTAGCAACTTTTGGCCCCTAACACATCCGACTTCAGAAAACCCCTAGCTAGTCATCTTTTACGGCATGTTTGTTACAGGACAGTGGGTCTATTACTGGGTCCCCCCCCCACCCAAAATGGAGCACCAGAGCTCAAAGGGAGAGCCACCAATTACAAATGTTGAGGTTCTGTGGCCTGAAAGTTAGTAAATGCTTTTAGCAACTTCATGATCTTCGAGCATCATCTGTAGATTTTCATGGGGATGGGTTTTTTTTAAAACCCTTCATGTGGTGTTCCCATAACAGTATGAGAGTTGCACAGAGGAAGTCGGGCCTCATCAAAAAATCTTCCTAAACACAGCAGTGGGTACACTGTAGCAAACTTTCATTGCAGAGAAAGCAAAGAATTTTAGTATGCAACAGTAGGCAGTCTGGCATTTTTTCTTAGGCATACTGCGTAAGCATTACTGTAGTCGACACTCTGTTGTGAGTAATGGCACCTGTTACAGACACTTTTTGGTTAGTACTGTGCATCTGTTACAGACACTTTATGGTGAGTACTGTGCACCTGTTCACACAAGACAGCCATAGGCATTCTACATGGTTTTTGCTGGCATAATAATGGAACAATAATAGGGTGACCCTGTTTGCCTGAAGTTGGAACTGCAACTTACTAACTATTAATCACAAACTATTAAAGATAAAAGGATTTCATTTCTATTTAATCACGGTAACACACAGCTCCATTTACCACCTCTTGATCAAACAGCAGCTGACAGGTGAAACTGCTAATATCAAATTAGCCCTCAACCCTTGGGGGACATATTTTCTCCAGGTTATTCACATGTGTTGAGAAACAAACAGGCAGACAGACTAGCTGCTTCTGCACCCCTTGGTGGTAAACCGAGGCATGACAAGCTAAATGTTGTCAAGACCCTTTGGGAGCTAGTAAAAAGCAGAGAAGTACAAACAGACCATGGTCTGAAAAGAATAGTGAAATCAGTTTTGACCAGCGGATCTGGCAGACGCTCAAGATGGGAAAGGCAAGACTGCTATTATACTGTTACTAGTACCATCTGACTGCACTTCTGCACTGGCTGCTAAAGATAAGGACAGCACTTAAAGCAGCGGTTCTCAACCTGTGGGTCACAAACCATTCACAAGGGTTGCCTAAGACCATTAGAAAATACATATTCATTGAAGTTATGAAGTAGCAATGAAAATAATTTTATGGTTGGAGGTCACGTAGAGCAAGAGGTTGACTAAGAACATTATGAAAGGATAATGAAAGAAACTCTACAGTGCCATGATGTGTCTTTGGTCGAAGCAAACAAGAAAAGCATGGAGCAGGACCTTATATCTCCCTTGACACCCGAAGTGGTAAAAGAGGACGTAAAGTAATTTCCGGGACTGCACCTGGTACCCACTCAAGGCTTTGTCAGCCTAGGAGTCTAGGTCATTTTTTTGTAAACTCCAGCTCCGCTAGGGAGCGAACCCATGGCCTTTTGATCCGCATGCGAGCGTCTAGCTGCTACACTGTGGCAACTCCCTTTATATATATATATATATACTACATACATGTCTGCATGGCCACGAGGAAATGCATGTATACATGCCTGCGTAAACAAATAATGCATGAAACAAGGACATCCAAGAGAAAACCCAAGATCAGACAGGCCCAAGTTAGTAACTGGTTTCCATCCATAACATCGAAAGGACTGCACACAAAAGAACCAAATAAAGGATTGGACTGGGAGCCCTATGTGACATGTAATGACACAACATGATGTCAAGTGCCCTAACTTAATCACCATCGTCAAGTGTTTACCCAATGGTTTGGGCGAACACATCTTGCATTCTCCAACAGCATTTATCAATCTGTGTACTGACACATGTTCATGCCCTTGTAATAAGGTGTCAAGAATCTCCTCTCACTGTCTTGCTCTCTCTTTCCGTAAATCTGTCCAGCTCTCATATCTGCCAGTTCTATGCTTCTTATAATATGCCCACCGCCCCCATTCCCCAAAAGGATGTCAAACAATAACACAAATACCTATCTATAACTATATATTTATAAAAAAAACTATTAATGTTGATATTTACAATTTTTGCAGTGCAGGCGGGGGTAGGCAGGGGTGTCTGTGGGCCTGAGAATTAGTCATAGGGCTAGTGCGGTCACCAGTGACTGTTGAACCCCCAACCAGAAAAACATTCATAAAAGTTTAGCCGGCTGCTTATAATTATATCCCAGTCAATTATTCTGAAAATTGGCAAGAGGATGAAAATGGATGTTTAACGCTCTACCTATGTGCCAGCCCTCATCAATGGGTGTGAGTCATGGGCAATGACAACAGCTCGCAGAAGCCAGCTTCAACTGGGAAGACGACATCCAACAGTCCCTGACTGACAGAGGACTGGAGTGAACAAAGCCAGAAAAAAAAAAAAAAACTGCTGACAGAAAGACGTCTGGCGATTTCTCTGGCAAACCTCTACATTGCAAGGTAGAAAAAGAGTGACTAAGTTTAAAAAAAAATATATAATACAACTATTAATGTGAATGCTATGCAGCAATATCATGTGAATGTTTCCAGCCTACCTGTCTCAATGACCTCTCCAACAAACACCTTGGAAATCCCAGACATGGCAATGACAACATTCTGAGACACACTGCTGCCTGTGATGTTCTGCATCAGCTGTAAACACAGAAAACATTTTCTATGTGTTAATTATTTATAAACAGAGAACACATTTTGCATGACCTCTTTCAGTACAAGACAACCTCACAACTACTAGTGCTTTCCTGTGTGGGTCACATAGATGGCTCCATTCTGGGGGAGAGGGGGAGGGAGGGGGAACAGACCTACTGTCACCATACATACATACACAGATAGACAGACAGATGGATAGACCAACAGACAGATAGACATGTAGTTAGGTAGGTAGGTAGATAGACAGACAGATATGCACAGAGTGGTGTAGATAGGTCTAGGCAGCGTGAGCCTTGAAGAACCACCACATGTGGTTCAGTATCTCTACCGCCAGTTACTCTAACATATAAGAGTAACTGCATTTGTGTGTGTGTATAAATATATAAGCATTTTACCATGCATAATTTTGTGTTTTTTCTTAGTATTCATAATATGCATGTTATTATATGATCATACCATGCTTTACATGTAATATACAACTGCTGTGTGAAAGGTGGGTGCTTGGAAGTGCCGAATGTAAGATGGGCCTGTGTGCCCAATTTGTAACCCTATGAAAATAAAGTTTGTTCGTTCTATCTACCTGCCTACCTTCCTGCCAATCTATCTATCTATATGTCTGTCTATCTGTCTGTACAATTGTCAGTGTATTCCAACTATCTATAATTTATGCCTAGCTTCCTGTTTGTCTCTCCCTTTTAATTGATTGTTCAAGTTATCAGACAAAGGGGCAAAGATAAAAGCATTTCAGAAATAGCGCAGATTTGCCCTAGATTTATTACAATTACCAGTTTACTGTAGTCAGAAATGTGCACATTCTAACTGCTGTCGACAGTGTGTAATATTACTTTATGTATGAATGAAATGATGTATGAGAGGAGGGAAACTAGAAGGGCAGAATGTTAGACAGGCCTGTGTGCCCAATTCTTGTATTTACTATTACTTGATGTACAAAATATTGAATTAAGAATCAACAACACAGCACTCGGGACACTCTCATAAGTGCTCCGTCCACATCTTTAGCAGCAAGTGAAGAGTTCCAATTCCGATGGCCCCAGGAACCGTCTGTAAATTCGTCTCATCCTTCCCCTGAGTGTTGAGCATCGGCCAGATCCCATGATAACTCCTAGCAGCGCCATTCTCCTCAGACCGTAATGATCTATCTGCGCCTCCGCACTGTTTACTCGTTCCCAAATAGCCCTCACAATATCTAACTTGTCATACACATTAATTCACCACCAAGTGGTGCACAGCCAGCCTGCTAATTTCCCAACACACCTGCATGACCCGGAGAAAATATCCAAAGGATGCTAACAACCCGGGACCTCTGAAGTCATTACTTGATGTATGAATGAAAGGAGGAGAAACTAGAAGGACAGGATGTTAGACAGGCCTGTGTGCCCAATTCTTGTGTTTACTATTACTTTATGTATGAATGAAAGGAAGGAGACTAGAAGGACAGAATGTGTGACAGGCCTGTGTGCCCAATTCTTAACCCTATGAAAATAAAGTTTGTTTATTTGTTCATGGCTATTCCAGAAACAGACTTCTAACCAGGGCTCTGGTCAACATAGACAGGATCGATATTTCCTTCAAAATCAGAATACTTCTGCCTGGGATGCTAGAAACCAACATTCTGCACACAAATAAGGCAGATCTGTAAAGCGGGTATGCACATGAAACTCAGGTCCTGGATTGAGACCAAATTCAGAAGCGGACAAACAACCATGTTTTGTCCACTGGAGTTTGCAGCCTGAAGAAAAAGAAAGTAACTAGCTATATTTCTGTGGCATGCTCAGATCAGATGTAAAATGCACACAAAAACATCACACATTTTTAGTAAACTGATCATTTTCACCCACCCTGTGTTGCTTGGAACTGATGGAGTTCAACCTCCAACTGACTCTAGTTTAGATACCTACTAAGTAAACCTGATAATAGTAAAACTATAAAGTCCCTTCACTGGAACCTACAGAGCAGGGTAAAAGAAATAAAATACCTAAAACACGTAAAGGTGAGAGTTCAAAGAGATAAATATGAGAGAGAAAAAAAGACATGGAGGGAACTACACGAGATAATAAAAGATAAGATGGCTTGGCTGAATTTGGTTGAGTACTTATGCTCAGCTGAAGAATAAAGGGACCCTTTTCTGTGCACTTAGGCATATTGGGCATGTAGGGACAGACCTATATTTTATTCACCAACTGGCACTCGGTGGTAACCCTCACACCAAACATCTTTGCTTCCCAGGACTTTACCTGGTGCCGATTTAAGGCAGCGTCAACCTGGAAGCCAGGCCAATTTTTAAAAACCTCCGGTTCCACCAGTAGCTGAACCTACGCCCTTCAGATCTAGCTGCTGCTCCGCGGCAGCTCGTTCCAGTGTGCATGTATGAAAAAGCAAGAACTGACTTGTCATCAAAGAAAATGTCAACCACCACCAAATATTTATGATGACCTTTCTTACCCTTTTGATTGCCGCCTTTGGGAATGTTGCTCTCCTGAACATCTCGTACCTGTTCAGCTGTTCTTCTGAAAAGTTCGAAACCAACACCCTGTAAAGAATTGATAAGAAAAAATTATTAACAAAAAGGTGCAGAGAATCATCATTAATTTTATTGGCCTCACCTCACAGTGACTTGATGTATGAATGAATTATGTCTGAAAGGAGGGAGACTAAAAGGGCAGAAGGTCAGACCTCACAGTGACTTGATGTATGAATGAATTATGTCTGAAAGGAGGGAGACTAAAAGGGCAGAAGGTCAGACCTGCCAGTGTGCCCAATTTTCAGCCATTTTGAACCCCAAAAAAATTTGGTCATGGGCAGCGTTTTACTGGGTACTTTCTCAATATCTTACCCCGGATGATGGTACAGGACAGTCCAACATTTTAGAGGGTGGTAAAACTGGGTTTCCCAGCTTTCTGATGTTTTTAATGACCCCAAAACAAATTTAGAACTGGCCCTAACCCCAACCTACCTACGCCGCACTAGAGAGTGCAGCCCAGGTCCCTCAACTGCATGCAGCTTAGGTCCCACAACTGCAAGCAGCCTATCTACCACCCCCTGAAATATTAAGACTGTCCTGTGACCTGTGGATTTCCCCTGTTTGGGGTAGGATATTAATAAAGCACCTTAGACTAACCACATCATCCACTCAATAGCCATTTGTCTTTGATAATATGGGACTCGCAGGACTTCCTTTTCAATATATGGACAAAAATTCACCCATCAAAGCCTTGGAGTGTTGTCTGCTTCCGGCCATGGTTTTCTGGCAAACATTTGGACATTCAGTAAATGGTCCCAATAGCTAGCTACTCGGAAGGCTTGGTGCAACACTGTACCCTGTGGATTTCATGTGGAATATGTTTTTGTGTCTGCAGTGGTTTGTATTGTGAACTGTGCATTCATAAAATGGTGACAACCATTAGTATCAACAGTTACGAGAGGGAAAAAAACATGATAACTTATTGGGTAACAATGAAATTCATAATCTGTTTAAATTATCACTAATCACAGGAATCATGAGAGCTAACAGACTGAAATGGCTGGGATATACAAACATAATTACAGAAAAGTAAAAATTGTCTATACAAAGGATCTGTATGGGAAAAGACAATGAAGCAGACCAATAAAGCAGTACAGAGATACTATCCAGATAAGATTATTGACAGCTAGAGAAATAAACAATACATTAAAAATTCTGCACATGGGTTCCAGGGTCCTATTGTGGGAAAAACAAGAACAGACCCACTGCCTTCCAAACAAGCATGCTGTAAGAGTCGACTAATTGTGGCCTTCCAGAGAGGCAAGGAACCAGCAGTCTGCATAAAAATAAGCAAGATCTGTAAAACGGATGCACACTCAAAGCCCAGTTCCTGAAACAACGCCAAAGTCCAGAAATGGAAGAACAAACAGGTCTTTCCGCCGAGGTTTACAGCCCGTGAATGCAAACAACAATTCATTAAAAATGAGAACTGTTAAATGTTATGCATACTCAAGTCTGCTGTACGGTGCAGAAATTTGGACAATGAACAGGGAACTAGAAAACTGAACTGAGTCTCTGGAAATGAGGTTTTATTTCATGAAAAAACAAAAACAAAAACAGAGGTTCTAGAAAGACTGCGGAGATGGCACCTGACTGATTAAAAATCTAGGCACATCTACAAACACTTGGACTAAAGGCCAATCACAGAGACAGGTGATACCTGCAGCAATGAGCCTCAAGGGCAGGAATACTGAAGAAGAAGATGTGGGGCACATCATAAGGAGAACAGACAGAGACTCACGAAACAGGCACTGAAATGAGACATAAATGGACTAAGAAAAATAGGAAGTCCAATAGAAACCCTACAATGAACCTGGTGGGAGGGGACAGAGGGGCTGGACAGGATTCCATCCATGATAATGAAAGGCCTGCTCAAGAAAGAATGGAATGGTGGACACAGACTCAGAGCCCTAAGCGATTTATAACAGCATGAAGGTGATGGCCAGTTCTCCAGGTTTGTGTCATACATCTCTTTCTCCATGGTCTTTGATCAATTTTACAAAAATCTGATTCTTCAGTTTCCTCACTAACTGTCTTACTATGTTGTCAGTGCTATGCATGAAAGCCAAAGCAGAAGACAACAGGTAGGTAGCTTTCTTTCCAGGTTTGCTGCTGCGGGATTAACACCTCAAAGATGAGAATCAAACAGAAGCAAATCCTGTTCAGTGCTGTTCATGTTCCCAGGCCCAGGATTAGAGTAACTTCCCTTGTCATTTATGCCTCCTTAGGTTGCTGGACCTTTCCCATGTTGCGGGGAGTCATGTTTTCCTTACTGAGAACAGTGTCACCGTTTCCTCTTTTCTCGCCCTCTCACTCGCATGATTATTTTCACGTTCTGCTACCTGCACAACGGTTCGGGAGTATGGAAACAGCGGCATTTTTTTCCTGATAGACAAGAATCGCTTCCCCTGCAGTACTCCTTACTTGTACCAGGCGCCTGAAACAGACTCACAACAACACAACCTCACACAAACATTACATATGCCAAACCAAGCCATATCATAACACCCTCGCAACATAAGAGAGGTCTAGCAACATAAGGTGGCATAAATGGCAAGGAAAGTCACTCTAATCCTGAGTGTGGAAACGTGAACAGGTCCTCCAATTCAACTGATTACCAGTTACTTTTAAGCACTCTATGATTTACAAAGTAACCTGCCGTCTGGTGTAAGAGTGGGAATGTAGCAGTAGACGAACTCTTTAACCATCTACAGCACCAAAATACACACTACACAAGTAGTTCTTAAAAAGGCAACACGAACAAAGTGTGCAGTGAAATATTCACCTGTGAATATAAACTAGGCTGAGATATAACATGTAAACCATACAGCTGGAGATAACCAGTTTAAACTAACTATGAAATAACAGAAGTACAGTTACTGACAGACTTCTTCTCTCTATTCAGTGTTCACCGGCTATTACTCTGGTAGAAAGTTCTGGTTGTTTGTCCACTTCTGGACTTTAAACTTGTTCCAGAACTCGAGCCTTGTGTATATGTCTGTTTTACAGATCTGGCTTAGTTTTATGCAGCCTGTTGGTTCACTGCCTCTCAGGCAAATGCACATCGACTTTGAAAGAATATCAAAAGTACATAATACAAAATCTTTACACATGTGAATAGGCATCACATGTGTACAGTGTGGGAAAAAACAATGTATTTAAATACAGCTTAAAATTACTTATAACTTTGCGCACAGTTTAACAAAATAACAATGCATATGTAAAATGTGTGTAAACAACAACCATAACAACAGTGAGAAATAACAAAACTAAACATTAGTTTACACAAGGTGTGAAATAAAGAGAGTGGAAAGAACAACACGCATGTGCACAAAAAGTGTTCAGTAATACCATAGCTGTACACAGGAATGTCATCTTATGTAGCTGTTCACAGAAGTACAAAATAACAGTTGTACACAGAAGTCTGAAATAACAGTCATACACAAGAGTGAAATAACAACAAAGCAACATACAAGAGTCTGAAGTAACAATCGCGCATAAGAATGTAAGTAGCAACACATGGTTAGTTACAAGAGTGTGAAATAACAATACAGCTGCATACGCATGTGTTAAATAACAACACAGCTGTGCACACATGTGTGAAATAACAACACAGCTGCATACAAATGTGTGAAATAACAACACAGCTGTATACACATGTGTGAAATAACAACACAGTTGCTTACACAATGTATAAAATAAAATAACAACAGAGCTGCATACACATATGTGAAATAACAACACAGCTGCATACATAATGTATAAAATAACAACACAGCTGCATACACATGTGTGAAATAACAACACAGATGCATACACATGTGTGAAATAACAACACAGCTGCATACACATGTGTGAAATAACAACACAGCTGCATACACATGTGTGAAATAAGAATACAGCTGCATACACATATGTGAAATAAAACATAGCTGCATACACATGTGTGAAATAACAACACAGCTGCACACATAAATGTGAAGTAACAACACAGCTGTGTACATGTGTGAAATAACAGCACAGCTGTATACATAACTGTGAAATCACAATACAGTTGAACCCAAAAGTGTGAAATAACAACATAGATGTATGCACAAGTGTGAAAGAATAACACAGCTGCATATATAAGTGTGCAATAACAACACAGCTGCATACACAAGTGTGAAATAACAATACAGCTGTAAACGCAAGTGTGAAATAACAACACTGCTGTATACACAAGTTTAAAGTAACACCACAGATGTAAACACAAGTGTTAAATAACAAAACAGCTGCATACACTCATGTTAAATAACAACCTAAATCCAACCATGGCAAGCAAGCCTAATATTAATCATATAACATAATCAAAGACTGACTAAAACATGGTTGCAATAACATGGTAACAGATTTGGCCATAAACAAGTCATATCAGAACTGGGTCTCCTTGACTTGGGACTGAATTCTGTTCCAACTAACAAGTCGTAAGTCAAATTGGTCCTAAGTTGAATTTATATTTTTCAACACTATTTTTTATTCAAATGGGTTATAAAAAATATACATAAAACACAGAAATTCAATCTTTGTAAGTATAATTACTGTATACAATGTGAAACACATATTTGTACTCTATTACATGGGGCACCAACCATGATTATGAGCTAGATTCTCACCTGTGGATCTAAAGGTTGTGAGTTCAAATTAAAATCAGAGTGACTTTTTTCAAAAACGACCTAGCTCCCAGGTCAACCCAGCCTTAAATGGGTACCAGCTAAGTTCTAGGAAATAAAGGCGGCCAGCATGATACTGACCACAACACCCACTGAGTGCCGATTAGTCTATAAAGTATAGGTCTAGCCCTATATGCCCAATACGCCCCTGACTCCTACACTCCGGGGAAGGATAAGATGGAAATAATCAGACCGTTACTGGTACCGTCAATGGTAGCAGATTTTCACCAAATGATTTGTTACAAAATATCCCATAAGGGCCTCATTTAGGAATGCTGGTTCAGGGGCAAACATAAAACGGGGAAAACAATTATTAAATTAAAATTGTTCTTTTCCATTGTAAAAAAATTCCCATTGCTCTTCTCTAGATTCTTTAAGGAATAAAACTTGAGTTAAATAATATTTTTGTAAGCATATTATTTTTCTTCTTCAAATTTCTGGTTTCAAAATCAAGATGCAGCTTATATTTGGGAAAATCTGGTTATGTTTACTTTATATTTATTGTCTATAAGAAATCTATGAGTGAATGCCAGAGTGTAGTTTGAATAAAGCAAAAGCTAACACAAGCAAGTGTAGAACAAGGAAACACTGAATGTTGACACAATATAAAACAAATACCTTTCTTTGACGGAGATACTACTACAGACATGAAAATAGACAACAGATTGCCATCAATTAAACATATTAATGAACACACTTAAAGATTAAAAAAAAAGGTTAAAGTTGAGAGGAATAACTTCATTGCAAAGGGTTTGATCCCAAATTGCTCAGTCGCTCTCCGCAGAATTTCTAGCTGCCTACCAGGAGTGTCACAAAAAGCACCAACACTGTAGCTCTAGCGAACATCCTCAGGGGTCACTGTAAACACTGCACTCATCAACCAAATGATACAGCTGCAAAAGATCACACGACCTTCACAACACAAGGCAAATGGCTTGACCACTTTGCCACAGAGACTCCAATGCATACTCTTTATAGAATACCACTACTTAACACAATAATTTTAAAAAACAAAACCAGCCTGCATTGCTGGAGTGCAATTTGGGGGGGGGGGGGGGGGGGGATAATGGATTTACTGGCCCTTACAATTATGTCATAAAAGATGACTAAGCTATAAACCACAACCCAACTAACCACTTTTTTTTTAAGGCACAAGTAGAAGAACAATTTTTTTTTAAAAATGAGAACCAAAAAAGAATGTTCTAATTTTTGCCTCAGAAAGAAAGGTTACGAGGAGGGAACTGGCGATCCCACCCGTCAAGACGTAGAATATGTGAAGGCCTAGCATTTAACTTTATAACGACAGTATCTTCAATGGGACTATCTTTGTCTTTACTTAACACACCAAAAACAAAACATATAAAAACCAGGAATTAAATTTATCCAGTTTCAATAATCAGATATTAAATTTATACAAATACTTTTTTTAAAACAGCTTTTACATTTCTTCAATGCCATTAATATGACATTAAATAATAAAAAAACAATTTAAAACCCAGGTAATAAATTTCTTTAATGCCATTAACAAGACTGTAAATTAAAAAATACCATTTAAAACTTGGTATTACATTTATTCAGTGTCATTACATAAAAATTAAATTAATTTTTTAAACATTTTAAAACTAGGTGTTAATTCTATTTATTCTATTCATTATTCAGATATTAATCTTATTGTTAAAAAAAAAAACAATACTTCAAAAGAAATCAGGTATTAAATATATTCAAAGTTATTAACAAGAAAGACATTAAATAAATAAAATTACACACATATTTAAGGGAAAAAAGAAGATTAGGACATTAATAAATGAAACATTTACAAAAGACATGGATATGATAAACAGCCACTTGAAAAAAATTAATTAAAAATATTACCTGATTTTAGATAAAAATACCCGGATTTGAAATAAAAGAACAAATTCTAAAACTAAAGTATCCTCAAGACACTAATGGAAGACTACTCTGAAAAATGCTTTTATTGGGTGACAATGTGATATAAAGTATTTTAACTAACCTCAAAATATTTAAATGTTGAATATTAATAATGCATAAAATACTGAATATAAAACTGTCCAATAAAATTGTAAATAACCAATAAAATGCTGTTGCTGATGCGTGGCATTCTGTAAATAATTTGAAATTAGCTTTTTTTTATAAAGTTGTAAAAGGTATCTTATTGGGTGACAGAAAAAAAAACATTTAATATTTTTTAAGGGGAGAACATTCAAACTTACTGCATTTTCATTCTTTCCTCTTCTTGTTTTTGATGTTTTTTGACAGCTTGTTTCATTTCATAGTCAGAGATTTCCAATTTGCGTTTCTTCTCCTGAGATGGTCCAGCAACCGGAGAAGAAGAAGGACCGGCCTTTTCACTGTGGGATGATTTAACTGTAGGTGAAGGTTTCTCGTCCACATGCTGACCACTGGTCGGAGAAAGTTTATCTGAGCTGGTCCTTTCTTTTTCAGGTGTAATTTCATTCTCTGAATTCTTTGATGTATCTGAAACCTGCTTTTCAGGTGTGCTAAGTGGACTAGACTTGGATGGGTATTCTAAAAATAAGAATAAGAATAATTATTGTATTGTATGGAATGTGAACAGATTACATTAACGTTATAAATTTTGAATACCTTGGCTCAGTAATTAATAACAATTGGCCTGGAGAGAATGAGGCATCTGGGTGTAACCAGAGGGTCTGGCCATCTCACTACACTCACAGGAGAGGCAAAACGGACATATAACCAGATTGACCTGTACCATCAGTATTGAAACTCTGCACTGGCTGCTGAAGATGAGGATGGAGCATACATGGGAATGCCCTGAGTGCTGTGATGTCAATTCTAGACTCAACTTAATAACAATGGAAACTGATCACTATAAACTATAAAGAAAGTTAACTTTAGCAACGCAGAGGTAAAACAGCATAAAGATTATATGCTGCAGACCCCCGTGTGGGTTCCGGGGTCCCATTGTGGGGAAAACAAGAATAGACCCACTGCCTCCCCAAAAGCATGTCGTAAGAGTCGACTAATTGGGGAGCTTCCTTTGAAGTCGGAGTACATCTGCCGGAGAGGCAAGGAACCAACAGTCTGCATTCAAGAGAATGAGATCTGTAAAACTGATGCACATGCAACACTCAGGTTCTGGAGCAGGACTGCAGTTAGCAGTGGACGAGCAACCAGAACCTTCCGCCAGAGTTTACAGCTGGTGAACGCGAAGAAGAAGAAGAAGAAGATATGCTGCAGAATCAGCAAATAATTTCAAGTGAGAATCCCAAAGTCAGTATGTTATGTTATCACAATCGACGTCACTACATATTAGGCATTCCCATGTGTGCATAGTCCTCTGATGCAGCAGTCACTCCAAGGCACCTCTACTGACTGTTTTTATGAGGAGTTGGTTATAATGTCTCCTATCTTAGCTAAATATAAAAGGAAGATTCTTGCAGTATTGTGGATCGAGAAGAGGAATTTACTAATATATGTCTTTTTCTTCTTCTTAATTTTCGATCCTTTTGTCATTGTGCAAAACTTACTACAGCTTGTTGTCTGCATTGAGGTTGGGGGGGGGGGGGGGAAGGTAGCATTTATGAAAGCTATTGTGCAGTCCATATATCCAGCCACCTTTCTTGGATAAGAGACTGTACTAACATCTTAGTCTCTTGGTGGGCTGAGTCACTATTCGACTGCACCATGTCACTGCCTTTTCTGGCCAACCTGTCCGCTACATCATTGCCTTCCAAGCCACAGTGACCTGGAATCCACTGCAGGACAGTTTGTTCTACTGAACAGCCTAAGTGAATTGAATCAGCTGTTGCGTCAAGTCTACAAACTGTGTGTCTTCTGGGCTAACATTGCCCGAAGAACTGACAAAGCATCTGTTAGACCACTCTGCTATATTTGTTGTGCTGTTGTCTATTCAGGAAAAAACATGCCACCAGAAGTGCATCTACTTCTGCTCTGTAACTGGAACAACATGAACTTGTTGGTATAGCTTGTTCAATTTTTAAACCATTTGAGCATTATATGTTTACTCTTCTGCCTCCTCTGTCTCTGACTGCTCTCTTGGCTGAACCATCTGCATAAACCCTAATCTAACCCTGGTGCGGATAAAGTCTGTTGATCTCTCCCTCTGTAATGGGCTTCACATCAGAGCTGCTCATAGATGATTTGTAGGAGATCCCTGTTACAGTGGTTCTGACTGTTGGCAAGTTATCCCTTAGCCAAAAGAAAGCAGTGATTGTAAGGTTTCAGAGAGACATCTGGTAATGCGGGAGGGACTTTAAGGACACATTTTAGTTGATCTGAATATCATGAGAAATTTGCTGATATACAGTACAGTTTATCTGTAAAATAAAATACTTTGGCAATATTAAATACCATAATGGTTTAAAGAGAACAGTAATGGAGGGTATTCTTCCTGCAAGAAAAGGCAGGGGTCGACCAGCTTGAAGGCAGACATAGAATATTATAGACGGTTGAGCATGAAAGTTCACAAAGTAGGGCTTAGTTTCAGAATTCTGATGAGGTTACAGATACAATTATTAGGCTCAGAGGAAGGAAATCCTGTTAACTGCGAAAAATGCAATGATATAGACATGTAATAAAATCTAACCGCCTCTCAAAAACAATACTGCAGGGCTCAGCAGAGGAAAAGAGGAGAAGAGGCAGACCAAGAAAGACTTGGTTAAAAAACCTGACTGACTCGACAGGCCTCAGGCATGCAACCATGAAGTCCATCGCAACTGATTGCCAAAGGTGGAGAGAGCTGATCAGACAGCCAACAGAAACAATCAAAACTATCTGCCAGAGTGAAAGAAGAAGAAAACAATGTTTTTTTGGTTGTGAATTCAAATAGGTTGTTGCGTATCCTCTAGAGGACGTTGCAGAACCAACCCTAACAGCCCCTGGCTGTTGTGTGGTTTCTCTAGGCAAATTTACGTCCAGTAGTTTGCCATTGCTTTCTGGACGGTCGGCTTTCTTGATACCACTGTCGAAACCAACGCAAGGCGCATTGCCCGCAGCTGGGATCGAACCTGGCATCCCGGCATTACGAAGCGAAGTGTTCGCATCGACTTAGCCACAGAGCCGACAAATTCAAATAATGAGGACATAAACAATATAGTGCACAATTTATTGCATGGCATATTTTTCTGGGTCTCATCGGGTGCAGTTTACATCAACATAACATGAAACACAAAACATGAATCATTTTCGAGTGAAATTCACAAGTCACATTGTGCATCGTGGCGCGGTGATTTCGGTCACAGGCATGAGGGGAAGTTAAGTCTGATGTGATGTGTATAAGGAGATATTCCGTACCCCACTCGGGCGCCAGTCCTTCACTGTTCTGGTTTTACGGAACCTCATGCAAGACTCCTGTTGCACGTCCCCGTCGTGCGCCACGGATAATGTCTCAAATGAGCATTAACAGAGTTGGCAGGGGATCTCGGAGCTGGCGGCCCCTAAAGGTGTAGAGTCCTTTCTGGCTCTCACCAGCCCGCCCCCAAACGCATGGGTGAAAAGTAACAAAACTCAAGGACTGCTTGCTAAATGTACCATCAAATGACAACTCTTGATTAAAATTTGGGAGCGAATGGAAAACTGTGCTGCTGAGACTCAACCCTGAACGAGAGATTTACCCGCAGCCAAGACGAGTAACATCTCTTGTGGGCGACTTCTCGCAGCAAGATCCCACCTACGTACATCCTCTGTCAATCCTCAGTGTCCTCGTCACCGCGCTGAGGTACACCATGGCAGCAACTATTCATATGCTGGCTTGAAAACAATGTCCGACAAAGTTACACCCCATGGCACACATGCAAGCTCAAAGTCCGACGATCATAACTCGTACAGATTAGGAAAAGTCTGAATGTCCGTATCCACTGGTCCAACTCGCCCGAGTGTTGGGACCAAACAGGTGAAGCCACGCCTGACGCATTTTGCTTCCCCATTATGTCGTGCTAAGGGCACAGCTGAAACAACATTAAAGGTGTCTAACGTAAGATGAAAAAGAATGTACCTATTTGTGTGGCCACAAACGTCCTAGACCTGCGGGCTGCCCCCCGCTGTTCTCCGGTGAGCGCAGCCTTGTAGCGCAGGAAGCTCAATACACGGTTGTGAGGTTAAGCAGTCATGGGCAGGACGTGACGATTCCTTGGGTGAGCCCAGAAACCAGAGCATCATGTGTCGGCTCTGCATTTATGGAAGCCTCCTTGGATGGCGGGGAATGCCCATGATCTGCCCCTGCCTTCCCTTGAGGGCTGAAAAACTCTACATAGAGCTGCCTTAAGGACGACATGCCGGGGGCCACACTTGTTAAAAGTCAAAGAGGACACCACACAAATAAGGCAACATCTCGACCCACACAAAACAATGGCCACAGTCAACCTAGAAATAGGCTTGACGTCTTCCTCCGAAGTCGGAGTACATCTGCCGGAGAGGCGGGGAACGAGTACTGCAAACAAATAAGCCAGTAAAACGGATGTACACGCAAAACTCAGGTCAAGGTAAAAGCCAAAAGTCCATTTTGGACGAACAACCGTGACTTACCGCCGGAATTCACAGCCGTGAACAAGAAGAAGAAAGAAGAAACATTGTGCATCTACCATGGAAGTCTATGATTAATCATGTGATCCTTTTGTTTACACAATGAAGGATTGTCAGTATATTGAAACTGGAGACAGCAGCGGCAATTATTAGAACAATATATATATATATACACACACACACATACACAGAATTATTAACATAAATTCCAAGGGAGTGATAATCAAGTTTGTGTTAAAAAATCTGTGCTAACAGGGGACTGATAACAATAATACATTCCTGGCGGAACCAAAATTGTGTTCATGTTAACCAAGTGTTCTTCTCAAGTGTGTTCGTGTAACGAGGCTTTACTGTGTGCGTGTATGTGTGCATATATATATATATAAAGAGAGAGGCAAAAAAAGACAGTGGGGGGGAAAACAGAGAGACAGTGAGAGGACGACTGAAAGATGTTAAACTGTAAATGTTCCTGTTTTATACCATTATTTCCGTCTGTCAACAACTGAAGCATGTCCTTGTGATCATCGCCATGTGAAGGACTTGAAACTGTATGAGGACTTGTCATAGGACTGTCGCTTGGTGAGCTGGTCATGTGTTCACACTCTTTTAGGTCCCTGGAAAATGTAGACTTCATCACTTACATAGATGCTTTATCCACCTCTCTTTCCCTATCACTAGTATGCTGTAGGGAAGTGGCTAGATGCTTAAATGAAGGTTTGAAGTTCTTTAGTTCAAATCCACATTGTCCAAATTTGTTCTTCTTCAAAACTGACCTTGCCTCCCAGGTTGACCCAGTCTAAAGTGAGTGCCGGGAAATATTTTGGGAAATAAGGATGACTGGTGTGATACAGACCACATCATCCATCGAGTGCTGATTGGTCTATAAAAATATAAACTTGGCACCATCTGCCAAATGTCATGGTGTGAAAAGCTGCCATTCAAAAAAACCCAGCACTGTCCGTATTTACCTGTTTGTGTGTGTGTGTGTAGGCAGACGGGTCTCTGAGTCTGAGGATTTACATGGCCTGACCAGGTTGAGATTTTATTTTGGCCCAGAAAAAATTTCAAAACCTTACTGAGGACTGGAACCTAGGTCTCCCACATGACTGCCCGGCTCTTAGCCGTTCAAGCAGCTGCTCGGCAATACTGGGATAAGAATCCATTTAGTTAAGAATTAGGTGGAGGCTGCCAAAATGTGGTTTTAACAAAGCATAATGAACACACCTTCAGATAAATTAACTTCTAAAGAGAATTGGCTACTAGCATCAGATGTAAATGATCCCCGTCTTTGGGTTCTTCTTCGTAAGTCCATGCGTAGTCATGCCTATCCACAACCTTCTGCCTCATGTACTTTCAATCAGCTCTGACAAAGATGATCCTCCAGGCCATAATGTTGAACTGTTCAGCATCTTTTCTCTCCACCTCCTTCTGCCTCTTCTTTGGGTACATCAAGAAACAATGAAAGAAATATAATAAGCCTTGAAGCAAAAGTTTACAGGATGAGGTAACCTTGAAGCAAAAGTTTACTGGATGAGGTGGCCTTGAAGCAAAAGTTTCCTCATTTGGAAGTCATAAAGCAAAAGTTATTAGGACAAGGTAGCCCTAAAGCAAAAGTTTACAGGATGAGGTAGCCTTGAAGGGCAAAAGTTTACAGGATGGGATAGCCTTGAAGCAAAAGTTTACAGGATGAGGTAGCCTTGAAGCAAAAGTTTACAGGATGAGGTAGCCTTGAAGCAAAATTTTACAGGATGAGGTAGCCTTGAAGCAAATGTTTACAGTAGCTAGCCTTGAAGCAAGAGTTTACAAGACAAGGTAGCCTTGAAGCAAAAGTTTACAGGATGGGCTAGCCTTGAAGCAAAACTTTATAGGATGAGGTAGCCTTGAAGCAAAAGTTTACAGGATGAGGTAGCCATGAAGCAAAATTTTACAGGATGAGATAGCCCTAAAGCAAAATTTTACAGGATGAGGTAGCCTTGGAGCAAAACTTTACAGGATGAGGTAACCTTGGAGGTAAATTTTACAGGATGAAGTAGCCTTGAAGCAAAACTTTACAGGATGAGGTGGCCTTGAAGCAAAAGTTTCCTCATTTGGAAGTCATAAAGCAAAAGTTTATAGGTCAAGGTAGCCCTGAAGCAAAAGTTTACATGATGAGGTAGCCTTGAAGCAAAACTTTACAGGATGAGGTAGCCTTGAAGCAAAAGTTGATAGGAAGAGGTAGCCTTGAAGCAAAACTTTACAGGATGAGGTAGCCTTGAAGCAAAAGTTGATAGGAAGAGGTAGCCTTAAAGCAAAAGTTTACTGTAAGGACAAGGTAGCCTTGGAGCAAAACTTTAAAGGATGAGGTAGCCAATCTCATTACAAGCCTCCCTACAATGTCCATGGTAGGATAAAATGATTAATTAATTAATTTATTCAATGTGCTATTGTGCCATGTAATTTCACACAGCCCTGGCAGCATTTCTCTATTTCATTGTGTGTAATCACTCCGATATCATGGATGGAATTCAGTCCATCACCTTTGGCCTCTCTCCCCAACATCGCCTTCGGGTGCCTCTTGGACATTTTAATTTCCTTGATCCCTCTATTCCCCACTTAAATGCCTGTTTTTGGGTCACTCTGTTCACCTCCACTTAGATGTGTCAAATGTAGCGCCATCTTCTCTTACTTATAACTGATTTCTAGTGACTGCCCAGTCATTTCTCTGATTTCTTCACTCATCTAAAAGTCATCTAATTTTATGTTCATACATTTCCTCAAGTATTTCTTTTCAGATGCATTTTACTTTTGTTCCACATCTTTAGTAATTCTCCAACTTTCACTAGGTTATGTTAAAACTGAAAAAACATTAGGGCTGAAAAATATTTTAATTTGGTTCAATTTCAGATCCCATATGCAAATAAGATAAGAGACCAAGCAAAATAATATATCCAATTTCATAAGAAAGTGTAGCTGGAACTACATCGGCTTTAAGACAAGACCCCCCATCAAGCCCTCAAATGGACAATAGAATGGAAAAGAAAATAGGGAAGACCAAGAGAGACCATGCATAGAACCATCATCAGGAAAGGCTCAACCATGGGCCTAATAAACATCCAAGGCCTAAAACTGGTGGCAACGAACCACCAGACATAGATATGATATGACCTTTGCCTTATGCACTGCCCTATGTATAAGAGAAAAGGCTAACTAACTTGGCTCCAAAAATTCAGAGCTAGGATATAATTCAGAGCTAGGAAGTACTAATACTACTCATTAATTTTCCACACAGACCCCAGTAAAACGTGAATGTAAAACTAAAGGTCACCAGAAACCTATAACTCTGTCCGACCACACACACAGAGACATCTAGCTTTACCTTAGTGGACTTGAAGAGCGAGAAGATACATCAGTTACTGTGACTGCGGTACTTTCAGGAACATCATGCTCGTGGTTCATTTTATCTTAGTTGTTGAGGGATTGCTGAGTTGCCAGTACCTGAGGAAAGACAACAGTAAGCTTGCAATTGGAAAAAAAACATTAGTCACCACAGACATGTTTTAACTTTTACAAGCTTTGTGTTTAAACTTAAAGTATTTTCCCAAGCATAAGTCACACTTATTCTAACAAAGAATATAGTGTCTAAAAACTGTATGCGTTTTACATAATCATACTCGATTTTTTTTCTCTCCAAATGATTTGTTATAAATAACATCAAATACAAGGCCTCTTTAAGAAATGTTGATTCTTCTTCTTCTGCCTTTCTAGCCCCTAATGGAGCATATCCATTCAACTCACACCAATCACATTGATTCAGTGGTGAAATAAAATGGAAAACAAAAATTATAAAAGTTATTTCCCAATGTAATAATAATTTTGTGCTTGTCTTCATACTCATTGTTTCCCATTTTAATCCCTGTGCCCACTAAGATTCAACCACTTAATGTCAGCAATCCCTTCGAAGATGCATGTCTTATCATCAGTAAGTGTAAGAGAACCATATTAATAAATAGGCAGACAATTCCTTTTTTTGTGTGTGCTCGTTGTGTTGAGGGAATTTTGGGCTCTCCTCTGAACTTCTACCCTGGCAATATGGTGGCCAAACAAATACCCTAACAGGGCCTGCTACAACAGTTCCATCTGTGACCACGTGGCCACCTAGAAATGAACGTATAGAGACACAGCACTTGATTTGCTGTTCTCAGGCCTTGATCGATGCACGCAAAAACTGTATGACTGACAACAAGCACGTTTGGATATCGAAACAGAAGACTCAATGAACGCAATACATTTGCTGTAATTAGCTATGCAGTGATCCCCCCCTCTCTCTCTCCATCTCTCTCTTTCTGTCTACACCGATTTATGTATGTATTGGCTGAGCTGTTAATGATTATTATTAGTCATCGCTAGTGTATTACTATTGTTAGAACCTAGAAAATGTGAATGCAACCCCTGGTGGCTTGCAAAATACTTTGTTCAAGCAATGTTACCCTGCCACAGAATATGCATCTCTTTCTGAAACCGTCCCTCGGGTGCACCTTTCTATGGCAGTCCTTTTTTTCAGCCAACTTTCTGTCACAGCAGGGACGGTGTCTGATCTGACTGAGCCATTTGAATTTACTGTCCTCTTCTTGGAGCCAGTCATGCCGACCTTGTGTGCATTGGGAATTCCCTGTGTCTGTGTCTTATATATTTGTGGTCATTCCACATGATTCTTCCCTTGTCTCACTTTCTCCTGATATATATATATATATATATATATATATATATATATATATATATATATATATATATATATATATATATATATATATATATATATATATATATATATATATATATATATATATATATACTTATATAAATATGTAGTCATGTGTGCTACACCAGGTAATGAGTGTATGTATATGTCTGTGTGTGTTTTCTTTAACTACTGCGCATTTGAGAATGCGTGCTGAATTTTAGTAATACAGTGAGATAGTATTTTGGCTATGGGACACCAGTAGCACACATATATCTTCGTGTAGGGAGTCGGCAGTCTGAAACCCAAGTTCAAGGTGTCTCCTTCGTGCCAAAGAACTGCATGGCTGTTGGGTGAACAGTCGTTAACGAAGGCAGTCAGGTCGTTGTTGGGGCGAAGCTTGCTGGTGGATGTAATGTCCTAAATCCTTTCCCCAACTAACAGTGGGGTACTGTTGGGGTGACAGTTTATTAACCCTCACATAATGCTTCAGGTCCAAATGAACACTAGGCACTGTCACTGTTTTGAGCCGAGGCATAAATTTTTGCTTCTGCCAGACTGTGGCCGTTGCTTTTTTGCTCCATTTGTAGACTGGAAGTATATAGTTTCGTTGCCCAGCTTCTGAGTTGAGTGCATGGCGTGACACTGTGAGCTGCAGATTTCATTTGGAATGTTTTTCGACTGACCAACGTGGTGGTGTGATTTGTAGATTCAGAAAATGGTGCGATGCCGGTTGTCGCAATATTGGTGGGGCCATTATTTTATTAAAATTGATCGCGTGTGCAACTGCTGATCTTTTAACGACTTCTGCTACCATCAATGATGAACTGCATTTCTAACGTCGGACTGTTTGTGTTAGCACTTCGGATGGCTGCCATATGCTTTTAGTGCGAGTGTATGCTAGATTTGCTGAGACAGCAGTTTGTCAGTCTTTCCACAAGGGACTGTGATAAACATTCTGTGTGTTTTTCATTGGCACAGGAGCGGAGCAAAGATGGGGTGACCCGTTTGCTATGAAGCTGAAATTAAAATTATCAGGGCCTCAGTCCTGAAAAATGCGGACTTGTCGAACATCCGGCCAAGGAACAAATCGTGGCAAAACTAGGAACCACTGAATAACGAAACAAATGCTCTAACAGGATCTCAGTAATATGTTAACTGCAGACCTGTTTCTGCGACTATGCCTCACCGCCGACAGCATCCCCTGCGCCATTACGCACGGCGCGGATGGTGGGGCTAAAATAGATGGCTGGGACTCACGAGCAGCAGCTACCGCATCTCCTGCAACTTCCTCCAATTTATTTGCTCGTAAGTCCCAGGCATCTAGTTTAGCACCCCCCCCCCTCCCCCATCCGCGGTGAGTTTAATCGAAGAGCCAGTAAAACATCATCATGACTATGTTCTCAGTTGATATATTGCAGCTGGCAAAGAACGAGTCAGTGCGCACGCTACACTCAGTACTACAGCGACGACAGCGCCATGAGTATCTGTCAGAAGCCACTTGCCACGCTGCCAATGACATAGCACCCTGGCAGGATGAACATACCTGCGTGTTGCATATTAGCCATTGCAACCAGACCAGTTTATCAGTCATTACTCGATGCAAATCGACAGGTTTCACATATACCGCTGCTAAATCCTCAATCAGAAGAACAGTATCGCTAATCTGCATCAAAGCACGTCGTATCCTCGCCATGTTGCTTTTATCATCTGTAATGTTGCATGTCTCGAAATTGTCAATGGTCGCTATTATCGTCTGCAGTGTTGCGTTTCTTGAAATTGACAGGTAATCCTAGTTTTGCCACGATTTGTTTCTCGCAGGAAGTCGTGCATTTTTCATAGGACTGAGGTTCTGTTAGGATATTTGTTTCGCCGCAGTAGAAGTTCGGAGGAGAGCTGAATTTTGAGATCCCTCCGTTTCATTTCTAATTATTACAATTTTAGGCTATCTTCTGAATAACGGTCCCAAATTATTGAGGCAGAAAATATACCCTAACAGGGCCTCAGTCACGTGCCATTTGCGCACTTCCGGAATTGCTCATGCGGCGTGGATTGGAGCTAAACTAGATGGCTGGGACTCACTAGCAGCAGCTACCGCATTTCCTGCAGCTGCCTTCTTTTTATTTGCTCATAATTCCTAGCCATCTAGTTTAGCCCCAATCCACACGTGGGACACGTGGTGAGGGTATACTCTCAGCTGGGGCGGAAGTCGCCGGAAGTTCGCAACTCTGCGGCGGCAGTATAGTCCTCAGAAATGCGCAATTGACACGTGACTGAGGCCCTGTTAGGGTATATTTTCTGCCTCGATAATTTTAGACCGTTATTAAGAAGATAGCCCAATTTTATTTCACTGTTGCAGCTAAAGCCAAGCTAAATTAAAATTACAACAGTAAATTAAGTAACAGTACAACAGTAATATAATCATAATTAATCGTCGGACGCTGGAGACTCAGGAGAGCCACTTCTTACTTAATCTTGGTTCTAGACTGAACAAGGGCAGCTGAACAGTACAGTACACTCATCTGAACAGAAAAGACAAGCCCGAAAAGTAAAAGACAAGCCCGACACGACAGAACCACCACGAAACAGGCTCTTTATCTACAGATACTGTGCCCTACCCTCATTTTCCTAGACTATTCTGGGCACGTAATGGGCTTATAAGTCACCTCCGGGCTCAAAAATATTCAACTGCAGTTTGAGTTTCATGACGGATGAAAGAAAAGAAAAAAGTGGTCCTCACCGACTTGTGGGTGATGGACGAACGAACTTTTGAACGAAGTTTATACTAATAATATTTAATCTATCGTGTAAATATTTCATGTGTCATTAGACCATTGCATGCGGTAAATATTTCTAACATACTGATACTAACCAACAACCAGGTGAATCTATATAATATAATTAATTAACAGTGGTAGTAGTCGGGTTAAGTTCCCAGTCGCTCGCTTCGCATCATCAATTAATTTATCGAACCAATAACAAACTTCCTGTGCGGCTATTGTTCCGTTCAGCAATACGGTAGTAGATGCTTTCTGTCAGTTGTGGAAACTACCATCGTTGGCGCTACACATGAAAAGTTGTAAAGTTTAACAGGTTTTACAACGGATCAACATCATGGCACAAGTGTAGTGGGCTAATCCATAAGTGTTCCGTTCTACTTTTTACTCAAGCCTGAGTCCGAAGATTCTCAGTGCAGTGCAAAAACTCTGTAGCATCGGCGAGGATCCTGAATGGATGGAACAAGACTAAAGTCCAGAAAAGGATAAATAACCAGAACTTTCTATCAGATTTTACAGCCAGTGAACGCGAAGAAAACGAATCTATCTATACACATATTGGCTGGTAGGTCTCTTCAACCCCTCTTAGTTCCTCACCCAATTCCTGCCTAGGTGGTGAGGTAGGCGGGATGGAAAAGGGGGGGGGGGAAGGGCGCTGAGGCACACTACCAAACATTTTTCTAATGTGGCGAAAAGGGGGAGTGGGGCCTTCACGCCAACAACCTGAATTTTTTACCAGAAAATTTGCAATGTGGGTGGGGTGGGGGTAGGATTAGACAGCCTCCCCCTCCATGTTTTTCTTTATGGAGGCGCCCCTGTGCAGTCCATTAGCCCTCACTGTGTGAGTAATTAGTGGTGATATAACCAGCTTTTAAATTTCGTTGTTGCTACTCACTATCCATCCTCCACTGTTTGCATCTTCGATGGGTCGAAATATTCGTTGTAAGACTGTTCTCAGAAATGTATAATAAGACGTCGTTTCTTTTATTTGCACATCAGGTTACAGAGCCATTTAAGTGAATTGGTTTTATCAGTGTTTTATAGATTGTGGTGTCTGCGGCTAAGGCGCTGCGAGCGCGTTTCGTAATGCCGAGGTGCCGGGTTCGATCCCAGCTGCGGACGGTTTGTTTTGAGTTGATTTGACAGTGGTACCAAGAGATGGCCGTTCAGAAGCAGTATCAAACCAGTGAACGTAAAATTTGCCTAGAAAAAAAAAACAGAAGCCAAACAATGATGGGGTTGGTTCTCCAACGTCCTGTAAAGAATAAGCAACTAACCGTCTAGTCTAACTTTGCGGATATTTAAAGTGATCTGTGATAACATTATTCTTTATTGAGTTATATTAACATCTCGTGTGCTAATCCTTGTTCTTGTGAGGTACCATTTAATTCTTCCCTGTGGTTTTCTAGAATGATCTAATCCCAGCTTGTTTTCAGTTATCACTTGCTTGATGGTGATGACGTTCAACCCTCACAAGGACATCACATCGAGCGATAAACACCCGGTGACACAAAGTGCCATCATTCCGATGAAGATCACCCTAGGACATGTAGCAGAAACCCCTTCAACCCATAGGTTGGGTTATATTAGGGCCCCCGTCAATAGCCAGAGTGGGTCTTTTAAAAAAATGGGTTTATTATCTGTTTATTGTTGCGGATATATTGATTTAGTCTTCGGTATGCGTAACTTTTAAAACAGAAGATCGCATTATTGCCTCTTCTGTAAAGAAAGAACACAAAGGTGACCGAACAAAAATATGAATCACGTGATATAACAAACGCTAAGTTATGTTCCAACTAGGGATCAGACCGTTGCTACAGTGTACACACAGAACCTGCCTCGCCAGGGTCCCGCTTGACAGATGGAGGCAAAGGATGTACATACTTATTGTATAAGAAATGTAGAAGATGGGCAGACTAGTTTCTGTTGTTGGTGAAGGAGCATTTTGTATAGGTTGGTTAACAGTGTACTGTTTTGTTTTACACATTAAAACACTTATAATACAATATGCTATAATACTTATATAAATATAAGTTATATAAATATAATATAAACTGTTACATTTGATTTACATATTTAAATTGAAGAAAATAAAGTTTTTTTTTAAAATAATTATAATTTTCGTTCACTTTTTAAGAAAATGTAGTCATTGGGCCGTAAAAGGATTCCCTCTACTTTTTGTCAAATAGTTATGTCATACACACACCCACCCACACACACACACACATATATATATTTATATATAATTAATATATAATAATATATATTCACAAAAGTCAGTGTCTGTCTCGCAACACATCAAAATATATAAAACATTGGGCTCTACTCCGAATAACGGTCCCAAATGATCTAAGCAGAAAGTAAACCCTAACAAAGCCTCATTATGTCCTACCCTACAAAGATTTAAAAGTTGTAGCTCGGAAAATATAAGGAATGAAAAGTATAAGGAAAAGGGCGAAGTCTACTACTTACCTACAGTTAAATCCTTTATATGTGAAAATGTGGCACAGAAGTTGCAAATATGCCCGAATATCTGTTCTTTCTGGCTGTCTGCCATTTCAACAGGGCGCGGCTAGTCCGCGATTCTCGTTCTGGGCGAGACATAATCAATAATGCGCGTTTTAATGTACGGGCATGTCGCCTCTGGACAACTTCAAACCAGCAGTCGCCTCGGGACAACTTAAAACCAGCAGCCGCCACTATGGCGCTCCCCTATCCTCGACCACCCCTTGACCGTGGCGAATGCGACCACGGTGGCAATTGCGACGGAAGAAGTAGCTCATTACTGTTTTCCTGCGACTATAGTGTCACCTCCAAGAGTATCCCCACGCCGCTATGGGTGGCGCGGAAGGGGCTAAACTAGATAGCTAGGACTCACGAGCAGATGATACAATGGAGGAAGCTGCAGGAGAAGCAGTAGCTGCTGCTCATGAGTCCCAGCCATCTAGTTTAGCCCCTTCCGCAGCGCGGGGGATATGTGGCACAGCTGCCTTGTTTACTGCCTATATTGGTGTTGAACCCAGGTTCGTGTTGAAATTTGCCACAAGGGTAGCCGATGATGAGAGTAAAGATGGTCGTGTCGATAGTGGTGATGATGATGCATGCTTACCACTCAACTCTAAGGTTTGTGTACTGAATCGTTCAAAAACACAACAGTTGTGAACTGAAATTTTTATTGTCGTACATTAACAATGTTACACAATGACATCAATGCTGTTCTGAAAGGCGCGTTACTTGGTTAACGGGTTCTAGAGTCTAAGCTGCCAACGGGCTCCTGGTGCGGGTTGGTCTAAAGAGTTTTCATATTTTTTTCTTTTTAAGATACAACAGGGGATCTCCAGGAAGTCCGGCCTATGTTGAATTTTTTTTTTTTTTTCATTGTGCTCCTGCTTCTTTTTCTTCTGACTCCGTCTCAGCGCCTGACCCCGGCTCAGTATCTACTCCCGAATCTGACTGAGTCCATGGCAGGCCGAAAGAAATGGCAAAGTGCACTCCTCGCAACCTGTGCACGCGCTCTCTTCCGTTTTCGTATGTTATTACAATGGTCAAGTTGTGTACAGGTCCGCGCCTCCTCGCGTAGATCTTCAGAGAGTACATTAGTTTTAGGTAAGCAAAGAAAATGTCTCTATTTATCTTCTTAACTATAGTTTCTAATTAACCTGCCCTCAAGCCTGACTTCCCTTTCTGTTCTGCTGGCCGGCGCTTCTCTCCTCTCTACCTATGGGTTCCGGGCAGTCGCTTATAAAGGTGCTACTAGCCTGCTCCCGGGACCTTCCAGCCACATGTTTTGCAGTCTGCAGCGACTTTAGCTAGCCGGGTCAGTGGAAGTATTCCAACAATGTGAAAAACAACTTATTGTTTTGTGCTGGGCGGGGTGAGTCACGTGATGCCTAGACAGACGACTGGAAATATCGTGGGAAGCAAGGACAGGGACGTAGGTAGTTATAGTCGCTTACTAAGCTCAGTGGAAAAGTTCCCAAAACAAGGGTGAAAGCCATGAGGGGTCTTGTCGTGCAGACAGCACAACACTAAAAGGCGGTATGGGTTTAGACTCTGCTACAGATACTCTCGGAGGTGGCACTATAGTCGGCATAAAGTGGCCCGCAACTTACATATAACTGTGGCCCTGCTGTAGGATAGCACTATCGGGAGTATTCTTGCGTGTCGCTAATTTGTCGTCCATTGTTAATCCTAGTTTTGCCGCCATTTAATCGTCGTAAAAAAGTCCGTTGCGTTTCGCGAAAATGTCGTGCGCAATTAATCCTACTTTTGACGCGGTTGATTCGCCGCAAAAGAAATGCGATTTTTAGATATGAGTGAGGCTCTGTTAAGGTTTACTTTCTGTGTAGATCATTAGGGATTGTTATTCGGAGGAGAGCCAAACATTGATTAGACAGTCGTGTGCTCTGAAACTTGGAGCACAACTAAAAGAGATGAAGCTTTATTACAGATTTTTTAAAACAGTTTTACGACAAATCTTTGAACCCATCAAAGATGCAAACAGTGGTGAATGGAGAGTGAGAAGCGACAACGAAATTAATTTAATAATCTGTTTAAATCACTACTGATCATTTGCATTATGAGAGCTAATAGACCTAAATGGTTGGAGCATATTGAAAGAATGTCAGATGACAGAGAAGCCAAAACTATACACCAGGGAGATAAATGGTCGTAGACCACGAGGCAGACCAAAAAGACGATGGAGAGAAAACAATATCCAGACAGACCTGCAAACACTTGGTGTCACCAACTGGAAAGAGAGGGCCAACAAGAGAGATGAATGAAGGTCGGTGATATCAGCATCAATGAACCTCAAGGGCTCCGAATGCTGAAGAAGATAAGCAAAGTTGAACTCGTAAGACCATACACTGAGCGATTAACATGTAATGACACAAAGTATCACTATTCGGATGAGAATCTTTCAGCTACAAATCCCAGAAACTCCATTCATTGAATGATTCCACTGTAGCATATATTGCAGCCCCAAAGTAACCTAAAATCCAGACAGGGTAGGGAGGTATTTTATATATATATATATATATATATATTATTTATATATATATATATATATATATATATATATATATATATATATATATATATATATATATATATATATATATATATATATATAGTCCTGAGTTCAGGTCCTGACAGTACAAGACTTTTTCTCCAAAAATGACCTTGGCCTGCAGGTCGACCCAGTAAAGGCAGCCAGCATGATGCTGACGACATTACCTACCAAGTGCTGATTGATCTAAAAAAAATAGGTCTAGCCCTATATGCCCATGATCGCCGTAGTGTAGCGGCTAGATGCTTGCCTGCAGATCACAAGGTCATGGGTTCAGATTCTGACAGAGTTGAACTTTTTAAAAAAATCAGCTTGGCTCCTATCTTGACTCAGCCTTGAGAGGGTACCGTACCAGGTACAATCCTGAGAAGTAAAGGTGGCTGATGGGATGCTGACCACATCACCCACTAATTGTTGATTGGTCTCTAAAATATAAGTCTAGCCCTATGTGCCCATTACTACTGAAGGCGTGGAAAAGGGTCCTTTACTTTGTGTACATCACACCAGCTACCTTTACTTCCCATGACATTACCTGTTACCCATTTTAGGCTGGATCAATCTGGGATCCAAGGTTAATGTTGGGTTCTTAATTTATAACGTACCCCAAACACGAACCTCCCGTGGGAAATCCACAGCTGACCTGACAGTCCATTATTTCAAGGGGTGCAAGTGTGCTGTTTTTGTGTTTTCATCTAGTATCTTCTAACTCTAACCTAAACTTGGCTGTAGATAAATCGCGAGAAACTACAACCTGCACACCCTAGAATTTATTGGGAATGTCTCCCGTGACGTTGTCGTGACATCAGGGGTAAGTTATAAATTAAGTACCTAATGTTGAAATAAAATATCAGACTCGATGCAGATTCAAACCCAAATCTTTAGGCCGACAGGCAAGTATCTAGCCACTTTGCTACAATGGCTCAGAGACAATACATATGGAACCTCTAAATTCCGGAGAAGACAAAAAGGAACTAAAGATTATGTAACAGATATTTCTTCTTTTTAGCGTTCACTGGCTGTAAACTGATGAAAAGTTCTGGTTGTTTGTCCATTCTGGACTTTAGTCGTGTTCTAGAACCTAAATTCTGCATACACATCTGTTTTTATAGATCTTGCTTATTCGCATACATACTGTTGATTCCTTACCTCTCAGGCAGATGTGTTCTAACTTCAAAGAAAACATCCTCAATTAGCTGCCTTGTATGACATGATTTTAGGGATCCAGTGGCCACGAGGCATTCCAGGAGTAGAGAAAAGAAGAAAAAGTGGATCTGTTATTTGTCTCCCTAAAATGGGGTCCCAGAACCCATAGAGAGATAATTGAAAAATATTTGAATAAATACATATATCAATATGTCTACCATCAGGTCTAACTCTGGATGAAAAAGTCATCTGCACAAGTCAGCACAGTTTATCATTGAAATCTAAGGCAACATCAGGAGGGGATGACTGCAACATTGCTGTACCGCTGATGTTATTGACAGTATGGAAAACAGCTGGTGTCACTGTTTCGCCCGCTAGCCGTGACCTCAAGTGCAAACTCAATGGAGAAGACATTGAAGCAGAAGCACACTTCATTCCAGGTCAGTGTCAGCTTTCATTTATCTGACTGTATAAAAAAAAATGGCTTGCATGTCCTTTTTAGGCCATTGCAGAACCAACCATGGAAAGTTTTCACTGTTTATGATTTCACTAGGTAATTTTACATTTGGGAGTCGCTGTGGTGTAGTAGCTAGAAGCTCACCTCCAGATCGGAAGGTTGTGGGTTTGCTTCCTGACCTTGGCTCCCAGGTCAACCCAGCCTTGAGTGGGTACCAGCTGCTGTCCTGGGAAGTAAAGGTCGCCGGCGTGATGCTGACCACATCACTCATCTGGTGCCCTTGGTCTATAAAATAAAGGTCTAGCGCTATATACTCAATACGCCTGGAAGGCGTGGAAATGGGTCCCCAACTTTTAAACTTAATTTTACATTCAGCTCTCAGTACCGCTGTTGAAACCAATGCATGGCAGTTTGCTGCCACATCTCCCACAGCTGGGATTGAACCCAGCACCACAGAAAACCAAATTGTGTTTGCAGTGCTCAGCAACAGACACCGACTGATTAATTTATACTTCTACTAGTTTTAAGAATTTTTTTACATAATGTGATAATGAGACGTTCTTTGCTTAGATTAGCATAAGTCATCTGGGACCAGATGTTGTATGCATTTGTCAGCTATTTTATATGATATCACTGCTAGCAGTAAAACACAAGACAGCTCCTTAACCCTGTTCCACAAAGAGAGCCGGTTTTCTTACTTTTGTGGGTTTTTGAGGACATGATGTTTTTGGGTAGTGGCCAAACTGTCAACGTAATAGCTTTGGAATGGGCCGCACATTATGTAGACATGGTGGGTATATTTTTACAACCTTTCCCCCCAGTGTTTTCAAGCTATTGTTTGGTATAAAAATTCAATTTCTTTTTTTGTGGGTGGTCGTTGTGACCCTATAAAAAAACTTATGATGACATCACTTTACTCTCTGTGGCTGTGCCAACAAAACCGGTTTTCTTGGCGAACAGAAAAAAAAGCAGTTATTTCTTTGTTCCATCTCTATTTGTTGATTACTTCCTTTCATATAACCCCCCCCCCCCCCCCCCCCCCCCCCCCGTGGATCTCCACATAGTCTAAATGTTGCAGTTTATTTACTTTCTTAGAGTAGGTAATCTGCATCATCTTTCTAATTTCTGAAAGCTCTGATACCCATTTAGTTTTTAAAAAAAACAATGCTTGTTATTGACATCATGACTTCATCATGTATTAGGTTTAGGTAGTCTTCCGGCTTTCATGAGCAGGCTGTCAGCCTCCTTATTTACATATATGTTGCTGTGAGATAGTATTAAATTTTTGGGTAAAATTTTTTGGATTTCTGTTGTATATTACGAAGTGCTGCTCATAGATCTGTGTAAAAAAAAAATTATGGGAAACAAAAAGTATAGATCAGGTTTACAAAATGTTAAAAACAAACCGCAGCAATCAAAACTATTGTAAAATATAACAGAAAAATATGTTTTTTTGTTATAACATTGCCATAAATTAATATTTTCAGTTTTTTTTTTGGGTTTAAACTTTATATAATATTGACACAAACAGTACATTGCACACATAATAAATAGCATGTAGCTTGAAAAGTAATTATCTAGTTAAACTAGTTATTATCCTTATTGTGGAGGAAAACAAGAATAGACCCACTGCCTTCCTAATAAGAATATTGTAAGAGTCAACCAATTGGGAGCTTCCTTCGAAGTCTGAGTGCATCTACCTGAGAGGCAAGGAACCAACAGTTTGCATACAGATAAGTCAGATCTGTAAAAAATGGATGTGCATGCAACACTGAGGTTCTAGAACAAGATTAACGTTTAGATGTGGTTGAACAACCAAAACTTTCCATCGGAGCTCACAGCCGGTGAACGCGAAGAAGAATTAGTATCCATAATCTTTTATATTTTAGTGTTAGTGTTTCTCCGTATACAAATTTCTTTCAGGAGTCACAGTAGTGTAGTGGCTAGATGCGCGTCTGATGGCCCAAAGTCTTGAATTTGAATCCGCATCAAGGCGGATTTTTTTTTCTCCAAAATTGACTTTAGCTTTCAGGTCGATTCAGCCTAAAATGGGTATCAGGTAATGTCCAGAGTAATAAAGGCGGCTGCAGCACCTGCTGAATGCTGAGTGACCTGCAAAAAATACCTGTGTAGCATCATATGCCTAATGTGTCATTGGCTTAGATGGGTTTCTGTACTTGTTAACATTTTTTATTTTCAAGGTCAATAATAACGGAAACGTTTTTATAATTTCCCTTGCAGGCAGTCACATTGAAGTGGGAGACAAAGTCTTTGAGTTACTGGATGGGGCTTTAAGCAAACATCAGAGGCGTCACTTGCCCCCAACTCCAGGGGTTCCTATTCTTCCAACTCCACCACCTAAACCTCAGCGTGTCAGTGTGGCACTAGCTGGCAGTGTGAGAATTTTAAATATTTCTTATTTGGTGTTAGTTTGTGTATATGTGTCCTGACTGTTGAGGTTATAAGTTTGTGTTTTATTATTAATGCAGTTTTAAGCTGCCGGGTACACATAATAAGTCCTTACTGTGTGTGTGTCATCCAACCCCGCCAGGACTGTACTACAAACGACCAACACCCAGTGACACAAAGTGCTACCATTCGGATTACCCGGGCACAAGTTTCAGAAGTCCTGTTTAACCAGTAGGTTATATTAGGGACCCTAACTACCGCCAGGTTGGGTCTTTAAAATAACCCCAAAAAATCGTCCTACATTGGGGCGGGAAAAATATAAAGTCCTTACCCACTCAGGACTGCAGGTTACATCAGGCTGGTGTAGCCCACTCAGGACTGCAGGTTACATCAGGCTGGTGTAGCCCACTCAGGACTGCAGGTTACATCAGGCTGGTGTAGCCATTACATGTTTCTTAATTATAGTTTCTTTGGAGGTTGAATGGGGTGTCTTGGATTTCTCCTGTTGGTCTGCCATCCAGATTAAGTTTCTTTTATCTCAAGTTTCAGATCTTCCGGTAGCAGTAAGAAAAACAGATGTGAATTCAAATGCTGGGAAACTTTAGAAAAACAGTAATTGAAGAAAACCTGGTTCCTGGAAATGTGGGCAAGGATCAGCTAGCACGGAGGAGGACACAGGGGACTTTAAACCTCTTTGGGTTGAAGATACCTGAGCCAGGGGAACACTGTAATGCTGCACAGGATGTGCTCTGTAATAGTGATGAGGAAACTACCATTTTCTTCTAGAATAAGATGATTCCAAATTTAAGATGTCCCCTATTTTGTTAGCCTAAAATTAAGAAATCAATGTTTTAAACACCAGATAGAACAACTTTGATATGTTAATAAATACTGAAAACACTGTTATAATTCTTTGTTATTTTCTGACATATGTTTATACTGTACTCTGTGAAATTATGGTAATGGCTCTACAATGCATGCTGGGAGACAACAGTTCCCATGATACAGTAGGTGGTGTGAGTGCATGCTGAGACATCGCCGCATTATTCCCTCTGATTCCCATTTCAGCCCTCGTAAATATCTAAAATCAAGACCTTTCTTATTACAAACATTACATCCTAGAGGATGGATTTAAACTTACTTTGATGATTCAGTCTTGACAGTAATTACTTTGTGAACACCAGCAGATGTGAATGCTGATTGAGGAGCTGCAACTATCGTAGCTGCCTAAGTGAGGGAATTGGGGGATCTAGGTAGCCAGGGGGGCGACTGAATGAATCAGATGGAAGGACAATGGGGGGGGGGGGGGGGATCAAACCATGGTTTTTTCATGAGGTCACTAGTGAGGAGGGGGGGGGGGGGGGGTTGGACAGCAGCATGTATTTATTTATATATTTAATTGCAATATTCCATCTATAAGACGACACCCAATATTACACTTAAATAATTTGGGGAAATCATGTCGTCTTATACACGGAAAAAATATAGTTTATATTGTATGAATAAGATAGGCACCTGTTGAAATATATGAGAACTGTGCGGATTACCATGGGCAACCCCTGTTATGTTAGCAAAGGGACCAATTAGTTTACCATAGATTCCCGTGGTGAGTTGTACTGTAATAGAAAACTGTGTGATTCATTTTTATGTGTCATCGTGTATTGATTTAAAGTCTGCAGTGGTGTACTTGACGAGATCATCATCATCATGTAGCAGGTCCTTTGCAGAACTTTGCTCTCATCACGGTCTGCCTGAAAGAAACTCGGTCTCTCGCCAGTTCTCCCGCCCCGTGTACTTTCATACTCAAAGAGTCACTTTTATCCTGTGCCCATCTTCGTGACGGTCGGCCCCTGCCCCTCCTTCCTGATACCATGCCTTTTGCTATAATTTTTTCCAATCCGTCATTGCGCTTGATATGAACAAAATATTTCAGCTTCCGAGAAAGGATGCTGTTTATTAGCCAATTTTCTTTGATGTTCAGATCTTTTAAGATGTTAATATTGAACAGTATTTCAATGTCAGTACTTGATGAGATACACAGAAAAATATGCAAGGCAATAAATTGAACAACTTTAGGTTTTCAATGACATTAACAAAATAACACAGGAGAAAACTAACCCTTGTGCTTCCGGTTAAAATGGACGCTAGACAGCGGCGCTGTTCGGAGCAGAGGCAAATTTTTTGCTTCTGCCGGACGGTGGCCGAAGTATTTTTGCTCCATTTGTAGACTGGATATAGTTTCGTCGCCCAGCTTCTGAGTTGAATGCATGGCGTGACCCTGTGAGCTGCGAATTGCATTTGGAATGTCTTTTTTCGACTGTGACCAACGTGGTGTGAATTGTAGATTCAGAAAATGGCGCGATGCCAGTCGTGCAATGCTGGCGGGGCCCGTATTAAAATTGATCGCGCGGGCAACTGCTGATTTGTTGGCGACAAGCTCTGCTATTATCAATGATGAACTGCATTTCTAATGTTGAACTGTTTGTGTTAGCACTTCGGATGGCTACCATATGCTTTAATGCGAGTGTATGCTAGATATGCTGAGACAGCAGTCTGTCAATTTTTCCACAAGGGACTGTGATAGACATTCTGAGTGTTTTTCGCTGGCACAGGAGCGGAGCAAAGATGGGGCGACCCGTTTGCTATGAAGCTGAAACTAAGACTACCAGACCAGACTACTAACCCTTGTGAAATGTGATGTTTGAGAAAGGCTACAAATAAAACCAGAAGAGATTATTTGACAAATTAAGAGATTTAAAAAAAAACAACTTTTTGGACAATACCCATGCATGAATTCTTTGAGAGACAAAGACTGAGATGATTCAGACACTTAGTGAGAATGAATCTGACGATGCTGGCACCGAGAGCCTCCAGCAAGAAAAGGGAAAACACCAAGAGGGAGAACAAGAAGAATATGACTAAAGGAGTCACTGATAACATACGACTTCACAGCATACCAAGCAACTAAGTGCGCTCTGGTTCAGCTACCGATCATCTCCTAAACTGTGTCGCCTGGCAGCACAAAGCAGGTATTGACAAAAGAAGGAGACATTGGGCATTATATTGTTTGTCCTCTTTATGTAAATTTTGCAACAAGGAAATTGTTTTGAATGTGGTTAATTGTTTTTTAGAATGAGGGCAGTGGTCGTGATGTTTTGAGAGAGTGGTGTCTCATACAGCTGCCCAACTCTGAGCATGAGTTGCTGCAGCAAACAAAGGATCCAGTCCAGGTACGTTTATTATGCAGGCTGATCAGTCATTGACTTTGAAAGCGTCAGGTCAATAGTAAGTAAGTAAAGGACCCTTTTCCAGGCCTTTCAGGCGTATTGGATATATAGAGCTAGACTTATATTTCATAGACCAAATGGCACTTGGTGGGTGATGTGGTCAGCATCACGCCGGCCACCTTTACTTCCCAGGACTGCACCTGGTACCCACTCAAGGCTGGTTCGACCTGGGAGCCAAGGTCATTTTTGAAAAAAGTCTGGCCCTGCCAGGAACTAAACTCACAATCTTCCGATCCACAGGTGAGCATCTAGCCGCTAGACCACAGCATTTCCTGCATCAGGTCAATAGTCTTTAGTAATAGCTCCATATTGACTGCATACAGGTCATGTTTGCTCAGTGTCAGCAGCAGACACACAGGATACCCATCTGTGTCCTGTGTGAGCTGTGTCCTGTGTGAGCTCTGTGGTCCCATTGTTGGTCAGAAAAAGAATAAAATACCCACTGATTCCCTAATTAATATGGTGTTAAAAAAAAATAAGGGGTGTTGCCTTCAAAGTTGCAGACCAGGAAACTAACAGTCTGCTTGCAAATAAGCCAGAAATGTAAAATGGATGTGCACGCAAAGCTCAGTTTCTGGAATAAGACTAAAGTCCTGAAATTTGGAGAACAACCAGAACTTTCCGCTGGAGTTTATAGCCGGGGAATGTGAAGAAGAAGTCCAATGTGAAAAAAAACTAAACAGGCTGCAGTCCTGGCAAAGCCAACAGCATAAGGGCACATTGAATGCATAATGCAGCAGACAGAGGTGCCAGCACCAACAGTCTACCACCAAAATTACAGTTCGTTGCCTATGAAAGCAGCGGTCAAAACAAATTTCAAATTGACCGCCCATTACTGCATGAGGTCCCCGTGTGGGTTCCGGAGCCCTGTTGTAGGGAAAAACAGCATAGACCCCCACTGTCTACCCAAAAACATGTCATAGGAGTCAACTAATTGGGAGCTCCCTTGGAAGTCAGAGTGCAAGGAACCAACAGCTGCAGGCTAATGAGTCATATCTGTAAAACGGATGCACACGCAACACTCAGGTTCTGGAACAAGACTAAAAGTCCAGAAGTGGACGTGGCGTTTACAGCTGGTGAACTTGAAGAAGAAGAAAAAGACTGCATGAGGCACAGCCAGTTCTGTGATAAAAAGACCACCCATCATCATGATGAAAAAAGTTATCTTGCACTGGTTTGTGATGGATCTTGCACTGTTTTGTGATGGATCTTGCACTGATTTGTGATGGATCTTGCACTTGTTTGTGACGGATCTTGCACTGGTTTGTGACGGATCTTGCACTATTTTGTGACGACTGAGAAGAATAAACCCACTGTCACCTAACAGGCATGTCATAAAAGGCGGAAAAATGGGGTGTATTTGGAAGGAAGACAATATTGCAGCCTAGCTTTAAACCACAGTGTGTCAACCACCCTCCTACGGGCAAACACAGAAGAAGAAGAACTCCTCTGTTAAATTTATATTTGTGTGTGCATTTTGACCTATTAAAATTGTGAATGTTGAATTAAGAATCAACATCATGGCACTTGGGACACCACCATGAGTGCTCCTTCCCCATTTTCAACAGCAAGCGAAGAGTTAAAATTCCGATGTTACCAGTAACTGTCTGAATGTATATCCATCTCGTCTTTCCCTTGAGTGTCAAGCCATGACCAGATCCCCTTGTAACTCCTCCCAGTGTCATTCTCCTCTGACCGTAGTGATCTATCTGTGCCTCGGCACTGTTCACTCACTCCCAAAGGGGCCTAACAACATCCAGCTTGTCATACATTAATTTACCACCAAGTGGTGCAGAACCGGCCAGTCTATCTGCCTGCTCATTTCCCAACACACTGGCATACCCTGAAAAAAATCAAAATTATGCTAACTGCCCGCAACCTTTAAAGTGGTGTTTGCCACTATTAAAATTTTGCATATACACAAGCATTTATGGAATATGCTCATTTATGCAACTGTTTTAGTTTATTATATATATATTTTTTTAGTTCACTATATTGCAGAAAGGGCTTAACAACATATTTAGTCAATGTGTACTTTCTGTGTGGCCATAAATTGGTTTGCCTTGTGCAATTCAGTTTGTTGAATTTTGCAGTTTAGTTTATAGCAATTTTACTTTTCTGAGGTCACTGAAATGCTGCCTAATCTTATGTAAATGTGACTCTTCTAATGTATGCATTTTAAGTATCTTTTCATCAGCTTCCCAGTCATCAGTAAAGAAATTCTTGATAATACTTCTTCAGCATTCCGAGCTCTTGAAGTTCTTTGCTACAGATATCAGTTTTATTCAGCTCAGTGATTGGCCTTCTCTTTCCATTTAGACACTCCAAGTGTCTGTAGGTGTGCTGATGAGGTATGATATGGACTATCATCGCAGCACTCCGGACATGTCCATAGGTGCTCAGATCCCCCCCTTTCACCATATTCATCGGTGTTGCCGGTTAATAGGGCCAGTCCTATGCTGGTTATCAAGGCTTTGTGTGCATCTGGTGCACTTCTCATGCTTGACTGTCCCAATCTTTACACCCGATTCTCGTATTCTTAGCAGTTTTGTGGACACGCTGCTTCCAAAATCCTCACAAGGCCCTATATCTCTAAGGGCATTGACAATGTCTGCGTGTTCCATAGGCCGGCAATCAGCAATTAATGCAGAACCCGCCAGTCTTATCAGCTCTTTTGTCTCTCTCTGTTATTTGCCATCCTCTCTTTGTTACCCAACTGTTGCAGTATATCAACCATACTGATGACACTATTGAATAGGGAATATATGATACTCATTTATTATTATATATCTAGTTTAGATTGATGCAAAGAAGTTGTGCCTGATTTGTTAAAATTTTGACAGCTGGCAAATCTGGCTTCCAGCTACCTCACCAGGCACATCCTACTGCACACAGACGTGGTCTTGTCTGCAGAACTCACTGACAGCATATTTAAGATGATGCAGGTGGGTTTCTTTTTTACTGAATAAACAGGTGGGGGGGGGGGGCTCCTACAGGCCAAAGAAACAGGGTGTGTATGCGCATGTGTGTGTGTGTATATAAATGTATATAATAAACAAATAGGCTTGTAGGGTGTCGAGCTAGTCATACATTGAAATACACTTGCTCCTGCAGCGAGGCGCTGTCATAAGATTTGTCAACAGTCAAAATTGGAACAAATCAGGCAAGTTAATTGGGTCATTCTAAACTAGATATATAATAAGAAATTGGTATCATGAATTCCACACAGGCGGATTAATATATTGCAACAGTTGGGTGATATAGAAAGGATGGCAAGTAACAGAGAGAGAAAAACTCGATACATAAAAGAATTAAATGGGGGTAGATCATAAGGCAAACCTATCATGACAGGTTTGATTCCTGGTATGGTAACTATATCCTGCGATTTTTACCTTCTCTAGTGTGTCCTTCTAGCTCTTTACTTCTTTCCGTGAGTGCTGGTCAGTCATGTCTTTTTGTGTATTATATATTCCACCTATTATCTATTGGATTTATGAACTGTGAAAAGTTGATGGGATCCCTCAGAAAACCATAAAAATGTTAGGCAGTGAATGAGACATGAAGGAAAAACTAACAGACACATTTGAAATAACAGGAGGAGTACAATGGGAGTGGGGGGAGGTGGGCTTTAGTTTTCAAGTTTTTCATGTTCATTTCGTCTTTGACTGCTTCGGGTGTCAAGATAAGGTTCTGCTTCTTGTTCTTCTAGCTGCCTCAAGCATTGACACACAAAGTTTCTCTGATATCTTTCCGTCTCATTCTTGGACTACCTAGTGCTCCACTTCCTTCTTCTCTTTTGGTGTATGTCTTGTATGGGATGGTGTCACAAGGCCTTCTTTCCAAGTGGGCAAACCACTTGATCTGCTGACTTTGTATGTAATTTTGAATTGGTTCTGTGCTGACTTTTTCTCTTGTGACCTCACTTTTATCAAGATCCATGGAAATCATTCGCTGGAGCTAGAGTTTGTGCTTTGTTTGATGTTTATGGCAGGCAGCTAGCTGCTTTGTGGAGAGAGAGTTATGTTGAATAACTCGTTGTAAACATTGATGATAGATCAAAACAATTGGGTTTTACAAAAATTGTAGTTGAGAGACCAAGATCTCCAGCTTAAAGTTCATGCCGTTTAGAGTTGGTAGTCATGTCTATCCACAATCTCATGCCGTTTAGAGTTGGTAGTCATGTCTATCCACAATCTCATGCCGTTTAGAGTTGGCAGTCATGTCTATCCACAATCTCATGCCGTTTAGAGTTGGCCTCGTCCCCTATCCACAATCTCATGCCGTTTAGAGTTGGGTCATGTCTATTTCTCCAATCTCATTATATGAGGAGTTGACAAAGTCATGTCTATCCACAATCTCATGCCGTTTAGAGTTGGTAGTCGTGTCTATCCACAATCTCATGCCGTTTAGAGTTGATAGTCATGTCTATCCACAATCTCATGCCGTTTAGAGTTGGTAGTCATGTCTATCCACAATCTTCTAACTCGTGTACTTTCAGTCAACTCTGACACAGGTGATCATCCATGCGATGATGTCAGACTGTCTGGCATCTTTTCTCTCAGTCTCCCTCTGCCTCTCCTCCCCTCCCCTCAAACTTTCCTGCTGTCATGATGTACTCCAGTTTTCTCCTTCTCATTACATGAGGGAGACAAAGATAATGAAAATAAATGAAGCAAAGGATACCCAGTCTCTGTTAGCAAACTCTTCTTCAAGAGATGACACTTATTTAGACTGTCGAGTCTAAGCTGAGTTTCAGGAACCTACATCACAGCACATTCCTATATGTGCTGTGTCCACATCTCCCATCTGGCAGACACTACACCCAAAGGAATGGCAAGACAGACATATAATCAAATTGCTGCCAGTGCCATCAGCATAGGAACTATTCTCTGACTGCTGAAGATGAGGATGGAGTACTTAAGGAATGTCCTGAGTTCTGTGGTGTGTTCTTAACTTAACTTAACTCAGCAAAGAGTTCTTTGAAACAGAGGTAAGAATGCCTAAAATAGTTACTAGTAAACTACACATATTCATTAGCCTGTTCCTGTACAGAACAAAAGGAATTAATTATGATTGCAGAATTCCTAAGTAGAGCTTAGGGAGGGAGCTAAAAAAATGTAAGTGAATCAAAGTTGAAAGAAAAGACACTTCTGTTGGAAAGGGCACATATTAAGGCAGACTGATAGAAATATAACTATAATTTTTAGGCAGTGGAATCCATGGAAGAAGGAATCAATAAAAGGACCCTTTTCCGTGCCTTCAGGTGTATTGGGTATATAGGGCGAGACCTATACTGTGTAACCAGTTGGCACCCAGTTTGTGATATGGTCAACATCGTGGCAGCTTCTTTTACTTCCTAGGACTGTGCCTGGTACCCATTAAAGCTGGGCCAACCTGGGAGCCAAAGTCAAAAGTCCTTGCTCCCTCAAGACATGAACCCACGACCTTCCAATCCACAGGCAAAAGAAGGGAGACTTAATGTCACACGGAGAAGATATCAGAGCCAGAAATTATTAATATTGAAAGGACATGAGGGGAGCTGCAGGAGATGGTAAACAATAGGAGGGTTTGTCATAAGTGGGTTAGTTAGTTAGTCAACAGATTATCCTCATTGCCCATTGAACCATTCAGTCCATAAGTGCTCGGTTCCCCTCCTTTGTAAATCCTGCAGCGTGTAGTGGCTTTCAACACCAGTTCTGTGTTGGTTTCTTATTCTTCTTTGGCTTCCTGCAAAGTGCTCTTGTCTGGCCACACCCCCTTTAACATGTTCTTTTTGCAGTCTGGTCATTGTTGCAGATTCACAGTCACCACTTGGTTCTCGCTAACATCTTATTTCTCATAGAGCAATTAGAATATCATTACCATAAATAAACAGAGGGGGAACCTTTGAGGCCATTCAATTCCCGGCACGGTAACTATAGCTTTCGATTTTTATGTTGTCTAGCGTGTTCTTCTATCTATCTACTTCTTTCTATGAGTGCCAATCAATAAACTTTCTGTTGCTTGATTAATATAGAATATCAGCATGGTCCATGGCTCGTCCTCCCTCCACAGTGGCTTTACCTGCAAGCTGATCTGCTTGCTCATTTCCTTGCATGCCTGCGTTTCCTGGCACAAATATGAAACTAATTTGTGATAGCCCTGACTGCTGTAGAGACTCTAGCCACTGTCTTCAGATCTAGCCCTTCTCTATTTTCCTGAGCATACTCATTGAGTCACTGCATCAGTTGGCTGAGGACCTGTATCCAGTTTGCGATAAAGGAATCTTCTGCACAATATCTCAATAACTACTTGGGTAACATTTTCTTATTCTCCTCCTTCTTCTCCTGATCCTTTTTCTTCCTCTTCTTTTTCTTCTTCTTGTTCTTCGCCTCCTTCTTCCTTTTTTTCTTCTCCTGTCTCTTCTTCTGCTACTGCTTCTCCTCCTCCTTTTTTTTTACTCCTCCTCCTATATTTTTTTTTTTCTATTCATCCTTAAAAGGCAGTTGGCACATTGTATTTTGATTTACAGGGAGGCTGCAATATCTGCACCTTTTAGCTGAGAAGTCAGATTTAAGCAAACCCTTAATTAATTGCCATTTACTTGTTAAAGGACAGCGGCTGTTTTCTTCCCCCCCCCCCCCCCCCCCTCCTATAATGACGCGGCAGCGTCCGTGGCTTAGTCGTTGAGCAGGTTGACCCAGCCTAAAATGGGTACCAGGATGGGCTGTCCTGAGAAAGTAAAGGCGGCCGGTGTAATGCTGACCACATTACCCACCGAGTGCTGATGGTCAGTAAAAATATGGGCACTCTTCTCATATGCCTGATACGCCTAGAGGCGTGAAAAGGGATCTTTATTGTTTACTTTTTTGCTTACTTTTTTTTAAAACTTGTTTTAATGTTAATTTCTTCAGGTTTATATCTGTGTTTCAAATCTATCTCAGGAAGTGGCCCATCACAGAAGAGATATCTTGCGTAATTTCCTCTCAGAGGTCATATCTGATGTCATTGATGAAGAGAAAGAGAGTCGAGATAACATCCATCACGCAAAAGTCACTGGCTTGCTTGTGGAGATTTTGCAGCAGTTTTTGGTACGTTCTGGAAACTGTAGCATTGTTGAGTTGGTAGTCTGTTTCTTCCTAGCCATCACCGGCTGTACACTCTGGTGGAAAGTTCTGGTTGCTTGTCCACTTGTGAACTTTGGTCTTGTTCCAGAATCCCAGTTTTGCATGCACATTCGTTTTACACACCCAGCTGATTTTTCATGCAGACTGTTGGTTCCTCACCTGTCAGACAGATGCACTTCTGCCCTGAAAAAAACGGTGGGTAGAGAATATTATCGTGGTCATCAACACATGGCTATTCCTCTTCTTCCACTTAGAACTTTCTGTCAGAAAACATATACCAGGAAGCCAGTAGCCATGATGAAAGTCCAAATCTCCCTGTCTCATTCAGCTACTCAAAGCAATTTTGTCTGGTTATAAATTAAAATAATGAGGACATAAAAATTCATACTGAATGCCTGGCATATTTTGTTAGGTACATATTACAGAATATACATCATCATGTATCATAAATCACATATACCATTGTTTCACTGTGCATCTCTCTACGACAGTCTTAGAGTAATGAAATATTTCTTAAAATTTTTATTTTTAATATGTGTCAACAGGATCCGCGGTACCTAGTTCTACTGTGTTTGCAACTGCTGAGAGCGTTGAGTCACGTGCCAGGTAATGTGATCACCATGGTCGGCAGCAACACACCGGCTGCAGTACTGGGGAGTATGGCCGCGTACAAAGATGATGACAAAATTCAGAACAACTGTCTGGACATCCTAGCCAAACTGGCAACATTCTTGCCTTCTGTGTTGGAGAAGGTAACTACCAGATATATTTGTAAGTATAGTAAAAGACAGTTTTCATGCCCTTGGTGAATCAGGCATAAAGTGCTAGACCTATATTTTTCATAGACCTGTCCAGTATCAGTGGGTAATTTAGTGAACTGGTGACCTTTACATCCCAGGACGTAACCTAGTACCCATTTGGGGCAGTGAACAAATTAGGAAGTATTTGGAAGCAGCAGAGAAGTGGTTTCTGAGACGAATGTTACCAATACATTGGATGGCCAGAGTAACTAACAATGATTGCTTGAAAGAAACTAATGAAAGTAGATCTCTAAACACAAATAAGAAAGAGACAGACACTGTTCTTTGGCCACATAATGAGAAGAGAAACATTGGAGAACATCGTTACAACTGAATAGATCAGTGGAAATAGGGGTAGAGGCAGACCAAGAGAGATGATGCTGGATGGCTAAAACGATGGTATAGAGGGATATCATCAAGAGAGCTGTTCCAGGGATTGTGATCTGTGGAGATGCATGAGTGCTCACATGAGTTGGCAGGGCACATGGTGATGATGATGACCTGGAGAATCAATCCACTTCAGTACAGATTTTAACCAGCGTCCAAGCTGGCAAGTGAGCATCTAGTGGTCATGCCACTGCAGCACCTAGTTATATGTGTACAGGAGAAATAAAGCCTGTTGGATGTCTGGAGCCCTTATTATAGGGAAAAGGGGGGTAGGGGTGGAGTGGTTATAGACCCACTGCCTGCATAACAAGCATGTCATAAGAATCGACTAGTTTGGGGTTTCTTTCATGGTGCAGTTGGAGTGCATCTGCCTGATAGGCCGGAAACTAACAGTCTGCATACAGATAAGCCAGATCTTTAATACGGAAGTACATGTAAAACTCAAGTTCTGGAATAAGACTGAGTCTAGAAGTGGATAAATAACCAGAACTTTCTGTTGGAGTTTACAGCTGGTGAACATAAAGAAAAAGAAGAAGAATTAGTTGAGGACATACTCTTCATTAGGAAATGATATGTTGGAAGGAAAAATAATATTCATTTCATAATGATTGGAATCAATAAATAGTTAAGCACAATATTATTTGAAGACTTGACTTGTGTGTGATTGTCTGCAGCCTCCTTTGAGGGAATCCAGTATTGATCTGGTAGCCATGGCCTTGACATTACATGTGAAAAACATGACAGTTGTTCAGGCTGGAATTAGAACCTTGGCTAATCTGGCATCTTCGCTTCATTTGCTGGCTTTTGCATCTATGAGAGGTAACCTCATTGCATTATTAAAACAGCTACTTTGTTCTTTTATATTTAAAAATTTTATTTTTATTTTACATGATATCAAGTACTTTGCTCATTTTATGTGCACTAGATCGCAAATTATTCCTCCCCACAACGCTTAACGGCAGAAGTGGTTTATGATGATGATGAGTCACCTTTTATGACATGCTTGCTAAGAGGCAGTGGGTTTGTTCTCCTCGTTCTCCCTGTTTGTACAAAATGCACTAGGAAGCTTTTGTAATGACCTCACTGTGAAAACAGATGGGCGACGATTTTTATTTGAATATGCCAAAATGGACCAGCTAAAGTAAGTAAAGAAAAATTGCATATGCGGATTTCCCCTGTTTGGGGTAGGATATTGCGAAAGAATCCAGTATTGTTTTATGTCTTGCAGCAGTGGTGTAATTGTTAATCATCTTGCTAGCCAAGACATAGTTCTAAGTTCAGTCCACAAAAGCTGCATGATACTCTCTAACCATTATGGCTTGGGAGAGCTACACTCGTGTCGCGGCTATACAATCGCCTCCAGTCCCAAAGGTCTTGGATTCAAATCTGCATCACGTCACTTTTTGTGTTTTTTTTTCTTCAAAAATGACTTTGGCTGTCAGATCAACTGAGCCTACAAGTGGCACCAAGTAAAGTCCTGGAAAGTAAAGATGGTTGGCATGATGTTGATCACATAACCCACAAGTAATAGTTGGTCTATAAAGTATATGTCTAGCACTATATACACTATATACCCAGTAGGAATAAGGGCATGGAAAAGGGTCCTTTACTTTATTCTTCTTCTTTTTTGCGTTCACTGGCTGTAAACTCTGGAGGAAAGTTCTGGTTGTTTATTCAACTGCAGACTTTAATCTTGTTCCAGTACATGAGTGTTGCATGCACATCCATTCTATAGATCCAGCTTATTTGTATGCAGACTACTGATTCCTTGCCTCTCAGGCAAATGCACTCTGTCTTTGAAGGAAGCCTCCAATTAGTCGACTCTTACAACATGCTTGTTGGGGAGGCAGTGGGTCTGTTCTTGCTTTCCCCACAACGGGAGCCGGAACCCACACAGGGAACTTTATGGGGTCAGTTCAGACATAAAATTGGTGCCAGATTTTCTCTTTCTTCATGTTCACCGGCTGTAAACTCTGGCGGAAAGTTCTGGTTGTTCGTCCACTTCTGGACTCCTGCCCTGTTCTAGAAACTGAGTGTTGCGTGCACATCCGTTTCACAGGTCTGACTCATTTGCATGCAGACTGTTGGTCTCCTGCCTCTCAGGCAGATGTACTCTGTCTTCGAAGGAAGCTCCTAATTAGTCGACTCTTACAACATGCTTTTGGGCAGGGGATAGGTCTATTCTTGCTTTTGCCAACAATGGGGCCCCGGAACACACATGGGTGGGGTGCCAGATAATTTCTAGATTGTTGATGGAAAGAAAGCCATGAGGTGAGGAACTATCTGTACATCTCACGTCATGGTCTAGAAAAGGGCTATTCAATTAGCTGCCCACAGGCCAAATCTGGCTCCTGGAGTTCTAGCAAGGAACCTGTAGATCGTTGCCAGCTGTATTGTATCAACGTATCTTTCTGTGCTTCTTTCAGAGCTCAGAGTTGTGCCCCATGATGATTCTTATTTTCACAATTCTGGCCTTAAATAGCTCTGGTCTAGAGGCTATGAAAGCCCAACAGTTCAAAACCTCTTTTCTTTTTCTTCTTCTTCTTCTTTCTTCTTCTTTTCCTTCTTCTTCTTCTTCTTTTCCTTCTTCTTCTTCTTCTTTTTCTTCTTCTGCATTTGACTTTTTTTTTAAACGGTTGGCACATTGTGTTGTGGTTTACAGCTAGGCTGTGATTATCTGCACTTTTTGACCCATGCATCTGATTTCAACAAACCCCTAATTAGTCGCCTTTTACGACATGCTTGTTAGTCTTCAGTTAGTCCATTCTTTTGACTCTAAAATTTGACCCCTGGAACCAACAAGGGGAGAGTTTCATAGCCCCATTTTGAGGGTGGGTGGAGGAGAAGGGGGGATATACCTACTGCCCCTTAACAAGCATGTCACAAGAGGCAACTAGTTAAGATTTTCTGAAATTACATATTTTGAGCTGAAAGACACAGATATTGCAGAGTATCTGTTAATCACAACACAATGCACCAACAGATGCAGAAGAAGAAGATATTCAGAGTTGAGTTTAGTAGAGAACAAACATTACAGCATTCAGGATATTTCCATAAGCCAGTTCCCAGGTAGTAAGCATCCTTTTGATATATTCTCCAGGTAATGCCGGTGTGTTGGGAAATAAGTAATCAGATAGACTGGCTTGTTCAGCACCACTTGGTGGTGAACTAATGTAAGACCAGCTGGATGTTGTGAGGGCTCTTTGGGAGTGAGTGAACAGTGCCGAGGAACAGATAGATCATTACGGTCTGAGGAGAATGGCACTGTAAGGAGTTACAAGGGGGATCTGGCCGACGTTCAACACTCATAGGAAAGGTGAGATGGACATAAATTCAGACAGTTACTGGTACCATCGGAATTGTAACTCTTCGCTTGCTGCTGAAGATGGGGACAGAGCGCTTATACTGGTATCCCGAGTGCTGTGATCTCGAATAAAGTAAAGATTCAACATTCACCATAAGCCAGTATAACTGCAGATTACATACAATTATTAATAATGTAGCTTTTAAACCAACTAATAATGTTAATGTATTGCTTGTTTTCTACTTGCAGAAGCCAGCATAAGTTGTGGAGTCTTGCTAGTGATTCTCTGTTGAGAAAGGCTAAAAACACACTTGAGAACTGCAAAGGCAGCATCTCTGAAAACGATGAAGAATGTGACAACACTGAATCAGATGGCAATGAGACTTCGGGAATATTGAAAAAGTCTCGCTCTTTTGAAAATCTGCGCAATCCTAACCGACGTGTATCTTTTGTAAATGAAGATGACGTACCAAGCTCGCCAACTTCATCCTCATCAGGCGCCTCTTCCCCTACCAGTTCACCAGGTGATTCTGAACTGGGAAGCAGTCCAGACATTCAGGTGTTGTCACATTCCAGGATTTATCCTGTTGCTGTGGGAACAGAGAGCACCAATGTTCTGAGCTCCTCAGAGGAAATTAGAATTTCATCTGGAACTACTGTTGCTGCTGAACACTTGAACAGTCATTCTCAAGGTCATATAATTGCAGACGTGACCTTGGTTCAGGAAAGTAATAATGAAAATAACGTAAGCCTATCAGAAAGCAGACTTTCCTCGGATGACCTTCAGAACAATACAAAAAGTGAATCCAGCAAAGCTGACGAGAATTCAGGACATTTATCTGTCTTTCATAGACCCCGTTCGTTTATTCCTGTTGATCTCACCAACTTTCGTTACTCGGCTGCAGATGTCATTTACATGAAAAGACTCATGAGTCTGCAGGTAACGTTTTTCTTGTTGAGTTTTGGACTTGGTCAGTATTAGCTCATTCTGTAATAACCAATCAAGCACCATTTTCCACAACTGCAGGTATTCTGGGCATAATTAGTTTCCAGTATATTTCTGTTTTTTTTTCCGTCGCGGCATATATCATGCCTGGATTTCGTTGTATTTGTGCACTGTATCCAGTTTTAGCCTATTCACCAACATCTAGTGCCAGACCTATTTATAGACCAGTCGGCACTCGATGGGTCATGTGGCTAACACCATGCTGGCCACCTTTACTTCCCAGGACTTTATATGGTACCCATTTAATGCTAGCTTGACCTGGGAGCCAAGGTCATTTTTGAAGAAAAAAAACAAAAAAAACATTTGAACCCAAGACCTTCAGAGCCCCAGGCGAGCATCTGATTGCTACACCACGTCGGCTCCCATAATAACTACTATTCCTTAAGTATGTCAGCATCCACTTTAAGAAGCTCCCATTTCGGGCCAGGTTTGCAACCTCAGTTCAGGAAGTATTCTATCTGTGGCGGGAGAAAATTTCAGTTCCTCACCTGGTAATCTGAAGCCGTGATCCCCTTCATTTTTTTTTTTTACTGCACATATTTTTGCCACCAGTCTTGGCTTTGTTGGAAGCATTGAAGAAATTTGTTTTTTCTTTAAAATAAAGTACAGTTCAGCTGTTGCATTCAGTATAGAGTCGTCTGATGATTCAAATCAGGCCCCTTTCACTGGCATCCTGGGGCTGGCAAATAGGCTAAAATTGCATCGAGCCATTTGGGAAGAGTATTGAACCTGTCAGACCAGAGCCATGTAGGGAGAGTTGGAACTTGTCAAAGTAGAGCCATTTGGGGAGAGTATTGAATTGAACTTGAGATTATGGATCCTATCAAAGTAGAGCCCTGTAGGAAGATTATGGAACCTGTCAAAGTAGAGCCCTGTAGGAAGATTATGGATCCTGTCAAAGTAGAGCCCTGTAGGAAGATTATGGATCCTGTCAAAGTAGAGCCCTGTAGGAAGATTATGGAACCTGTCAAAGTAGAGCCCTGTAGGAAGATTATGGAACCTGTCAAGGTAGAGCCCTATAGGAAGATTATGGAACCTGTCAAAGTAGAGCCCTGTAGGAAGATTATGAAACCTGTCAAAGTAGAGCCCTGTAGGAAGATTATGGAACCTGTCAAAGTAGAGCCCTGTAGGAAGATTATGGAACCTGTCAAAGTAGAGCCATGTAGAGAGATTATGAAACCTGTTATGCCAGAGCTGTATAGGGATATTATGGAACCTGTCAAAGTAGAGCTGCATAGGGAGAGTAGGCAACCTTTCACACCAGAGCCATTTTGTGTTTTATTTTCATCATCATCATCCCAGGTTTTCTCGGTGTATGTTTTGTCCAATAACAGTGTAACCCTGAATGTTTGATTCCCCAGGTGACCTGTCATGTTTGCTCAGCATCCGTTCAAGGCTCTGACCCACCAGCCCTGAGGTTGATTGACATGCCATTGAGTCAGCTCTTAAGTCGACCTGGCATTCCTAATGCCTTGTGGCAGTTTGCTGACAGCCAGTTTGAGGAGAAGGCTAGTCTGATGGATGTGGATCCAGGAACAGTCATCAGTATCATTGATGCTGTCAGATACAAGTGAGTCATCAGTATCATTGATGCTGTCAGATACAAGTGAGTCATCAGTATCATTGATGCTGTCAGATACAAGTGAGTCATCAGTATCATTGATGCTGTCAGATACAAGTGAGTTGATCGGCAGCCTTGAATTCTCTTGCCAGTGTCTGTGGCTTAGCCGTTGCAAATCTGCTTTGAAATGCTGAGGCCCTGGGTTCTGTCCCAGCTGCAGCTGATTTGGCAGCAGACCGTCTAGGACTGGTTTGTACAGTGGTATTGAGAGCCGACTGTTCAGGGCAATGGCAAGTTACTGAACTCAAATTACCTAGTAAAATCACAAACAGACACAAACAAAAAGGCTGGAGTCGGTTCTGCAACATCTTGTAAAGGACATACAACTTAAACTTTTTTTTTTTAAAGAATTCTCTAATGTAGACAAGGGTTTTTGGGACATCTTGTGAGAAAGAATGGAATTGAGAACACTTGGTTACAACTGGGGAGATTCATGGTAAAAGAGGAAGAGAAAGCATAAAAAAATAAATATATGGATGACTTAGCCACATAGATGGGGGTGAGGCAAGAGCACTGGCCTAATTCTGTGATTCATGTAATCGTGTGAGAGTGTAGCATGACTGCCTACGCTTATTGGCAGGGCACATGCTAATGATGACGATCCTCTTATTCTTATCCAAGTAAAATTATGAGTGAGTGTGTTCTAGAATGTTCTTATTTGCATCGCAATGTAAGTGTGTGTGTATGTGTGCATGCTATAATCATCCTGTTATCAACGCCAGTGTGAATGTTTGTGTTTTAGAATTTTCCTTTTTTCATTACACATGAGTGTATGTATCGAAGAATTTTCTTATCCTCTTTTGCAAGTGAAAGTATTGGTGGCTGTGTTGTAGAATAGACATGCTGTTTCCCTACCAAGCATGTTTTAAAAGCTGACTAATTAGTGGTCTTTCCTTTGAGGTTATGGTACATCTGCCTTAGAGGTAAGGAACCAACAGTCAGCATAGAAATAAGCTAGATCTGTAGAACAGATATGCACACAGCATCAAATTCTAGGATAAGACCAAAGTCCAAAGGTAAATGAACAACCAGAACTTACTGCTCGAATTTACATCTAGTGAAAGCGGAGAAGATACAAAAGAAGAAAAAGTAAAAGAAGAACGAACGAACTTTTTTTTTCAAAGGGTCACAAATTGGGCACACAGGCCTGTCTTACATTCGGCACTTCCAAACACCCATCTTTCACACTGCAGCTGTATTTTATCAATAAGCATGTTATTTTCATATGATAATATGCATATTATAAATATCAAAAAAAAGAGAAAAAAAAAGAAAAAGCACAAAAGCATGGGTGGTAAAATGCACACACACACACACACACACACACACACACACACACACACACACACTTAAACACACCCACATACCTTCACACACACATAAACACACCACATTCACCTACATACATACCTACATACCCACACAGACACGCACATTCCACACATATACAAACATGCAGATATACACACACAGACACACCCATAGAAACAAATACAGACACACACACAAACAGATATATATACGCGCACATACCCGATCACACACGCAGATACACACATACAGACAACACGTGCGACACACACACATAAAATCGGCATACACATACAGACACACACATATGCACAAACACACGCAGACAGATACACACACACAGACACACTCAGAGACACACAAACACACACAATCGCAGTTACACACGCTGATGCTCACGCAGACACATACAACCACAGACACACACACGCAGAAGCATACGCAGACATTCATACACTCAGGCACACACACAAATACACGCAGACACAGACACAAGACGCAAAAACATATGCAGACATACATATACACAGGCACACACGCAGACACACATACACACACATGTAGACACACTCAGAGACACTACACGCAGATATACACACAAACGCACAGAGACATATACACAGAGACATACACAGATATATACACACAGAGACGCGCATATACACAGGTATTCACACAGATGCACATACACACACATGCACATACAAAGACACACACACATGTGGCGTTGGTAGTCATGTTATCCACAACCTTCTGTCTCGTGTACTTTCAATCAACTCTGGCACAGATGATCTTCCATGCCATATTGAAGTGTATCTGTACTGACTTTTTCTCTTATGACCTTACTCCTGATATTATCTCTTCTGGTCACTCCCACATTCTTTCTCAGACAATCCATGGTTCATAACCTGAAAAAAAAGAATTGTTCTAAATGGTAAGAAAGATAGACATCAGTATTGTAAAATTTGCATGCCTAGGTAGAACATCTATGGCATCAAAGAATCATTGATGTATACTGTTCATAATAATCATCAACAAGCACCTTGCTGATTAGCTTTTGTGATCATCACGGCTCAACTGTAGAACAAAAAAGTGCCGGTACTCAAAAAAGTGCCGGTACTCAACAGTTTCTTTAAAACAAAACAAAAAATGCAAGTACTTACCATAACGTTTCTGCTAAAAAAAAATGGTGCAGGTATTGCCTTGCATTGTCTGCCACTAGAAGAAAAAAATGCCTAGTGATCGTGCTTTTCCATATAATGTGATCTCTGACAGCATGTATCAGTTCATGTGCTGATATCCAGCTTTCCATGCAGTGAAAAACTGCTGTCAACAATCTTTCTTTGTTTTCCTCCATCTCTGTTTCTACAAAACATTCTTGTTGTCACAAATTCCAGTTTTTCTCTTCTTATTTGGTGCCCAGCTTAGCTGGTAAATGTCATCTGACATTCGTCGTTGATCCTGTTTAAAAAATAATTCTCTTGTCTTTTTTTCAGAATGCTCATGTTTGATCTAGTCAAGAAGAGTCTGCTTATGCTGATAGATAATTTCTCACCCAAAGTCCACACCAGGATGTTTGAAGTCACAAGGGAAGTAATTGAGAGTGTTTTAGCAGACGCTGCATTGCAAGCACTTACCACAGGTAGGTTTTGTGTGGGAGTTTGGTTACCAGTAGGATGGGTTGTTTGTAGTGTGCTGTAAGGGTCTGCACCAGGGTGGGCTTGTTTCTTATGTGATGTAGTGGTTGGCACCAGGGTGGGTTGTTTGTTTAATGATGCAGTGGTTGCACTAGGATGAGTTGTTTGTTGTGCTGTAAGGGTTTGCATTACACCTGGATGGGTTGTTTGTTGTACTGTAATGGGTTTGTGTGTGTGTGTGTGTGTGTGCTGTATTTGTTTGCATTACACAAGGATGGGTTGTTTGTTGTACTGTAAGGGTTTGCATCAGAGTGGCTTGTTTGGTGTGCTGTAATGGTTTGCATTGCACTAGTGTAGGTTGTTTGGTATGTGCTGTAGTGCTTTGCACCAGGTTGGGTTATTTTTTTTTTAATGCTGTAAAGGTTTGCACAAGGATGAATTGTTTGTTTTGTGCTGTAAGAGTTTGCACAAGGATGAGTTTTTTTTAAATTTTGTAACCATTAACGCCAGGATTATTTGGATGTGTTGTAATGATTTACATCAGGATGGGTTGTTTATTTTGTGCTGTAGTAGTTTGAACTAATATGGTTTATTTTATTTGTTATTATGGTTTGCTCCTAGATTATTTGTTTAATGTGCTGTAATTGTTTCCACCATGATGGTTTGTTTGATGTTTTCGCAATGGTTTATTTGATTTGCTGTAATAGTTTGCATCAGGATGGGTTGTTTGATATGTGTTTTAGTGTGGAGACAATTAGGGCTTTTCTTGAGGGCCCCAGTAGCACAGGGCATCTATAGCTCTAGTGGGCAGGAAATGGGTTGATTTTTTTTTAAAAAAGGGCTCTCCTCCTAACTTCTACCCCGGCAATGTGGTGGCCACACAAATACCCTAACAGGGCCTCAGTCCTGAAACATGCGGACTTGTCGGACTTCCTGCCGAGGAACAAATCGCGGCAAAACTAGGATCCGCTGAATAGCGAAACAAATGCTCTAACAGGGTCTCAGCGATATGTTAATTGCGGACCTGTTTCTGTGACTATGCCTCACCACCGACCACTGACTCGTTCTTTGCCAGCTGCAACATATCAACCGAGAACATAGTCATGATGATGTTTTACTGGACGCGCGGCGCTGGGGATGCTGTCAGGTGTGAGTTTAATCGAAGAGCCAGTAAAACATCATCATGACTATGTTCTCAGTTGATATGTTGCAGCTGGCAAAGAACGAGCCAGTGCGCACGCTACACTCAGTACTACAGCGACGACAGCGCCACAAGTATCGGTCAGTAGCCACCTGCCGTGCTGCCAAGGACATAGCATCCTGGCAGGACGAACATACCTGCGTGTTGCGTATTAGCAATTGCAAATCGACAGGTCTCACATCAACCGCTGCTAAATCCTCAATCGGAAGAACAGTATCGTTAATCTGCGTCGGAGCGTGTTGTATCCCCGCCATGTCGCTTTTATCGTCTGTAATGTTGCGTGTCTCGAAATTGTCAGCGTTCACTATTATCGTCTGCTACTATCGTCTGCAGTGCTTTTATCGTCTGCTACTATCGTCTACAGTGTTGCGTTTCTTGAAATTGACTTGTAATCCTAGTTTTGCCGTGATTTGCAGGAAGTCGCGCATTTTTCATAGGACTGAGGCCCTGTTAGGGTATTTGTTTCACTGGGGTAGAAGTTCGGAGGAGAGCTAAAAGTTGTTTTATTAGGTTTTGTAGTTGACATGATACATATCTAATTTCAGATGTGGAGTTTGTGACCAGTCTAGTTCAGCAGTTGGAAAATGTTCGACAAGCCTTTCATGATCCTCATCCTGTGGCATCATTGGCTGAAAGCATCAAACTCCTGCTTGTATCTAAGGAAAGACCCCAGGAGAACCAACAAAACTGATTTAACTGTGATTCTGGTTGCACAAGAAATATGGTTGTATAAGACATATAGCGCTACATCTGGTTGTACAAGAAATGTATATCTACATTTAATCGCACACAAAAAATATGTAGCTAAATTTGCGTGAAAAACACATTTAATTGTATCTGGGTGCACAAGAAATGTATGGTTACATTTGGTGGTACAAGAAATATTTAGCAACATTTGGGTGTACAAGAAATATTTAGCAACATTTGGGTGTAGAAAAAATATGCATATAATAAACAAACAGACAATGTATTGATAAGCACTCATAGAAAGATAAAGAAAGACAGAAGGACACACCAGACAATATAAAAACCAAAGGCAAAATTGGGAGATGTGAGCCAGCGTCATTGTACACGGTTATAAACCATAAGTGCTCTGCCACCAGTACTGAAAGCTGATGAGAAACTGTCCGTCTTTGTCGCTGTCTGCACTCAACTCCATAGCTACAGCGACGTTCCTCCATTTACCCCAGAGCATTAACTCTGAGACCCATTCCCTAGATGCTGGGTGAACCCCTGAAACCGCCTGCTAACAAACACCAGCTGTGGGCTGCAGCCAGTTGCAGCTGGATTTGACAGCCAGTCTTCTATCCACTGTGCTAACGTGACCCCAGAAAAACCAAAAGCTATGGTAACCGTGTCAGGAATCAAACCTGTCACCTCTAAATGATGGATACGCCTCGCTGTGGAAACAAGTGTTCTAAGATACATTACCAGCTAGGCAGCCTTATAAAAGGTGTCTTCATTAGCCATGTCTGTCGTAGAGCTTGAAATCCACAGCTATTGATTACAGAATTCATCTCAAACCATTGAAATGGAACTACAAGTTACAGAAATGTATATTAACCAAGCATACGTCAAATTACAAACACAATAATAGTTTTACGTCAGGCCTTAATGCTGTGACTAGAATACAACAAACATCTGAAAAATAGATTTCATTGGTCGGTTCCATTGTGTTACACGTGATACACATAAACAGAGGGCGAATTCTTGAGGCCATAGAAACCTACGAGGGGAAGTCATTAAGTAAAGGCAATTGCATTAATAAGTTTTTTTTTTTTTTAAAGCAGCCGGAACAAAATTATTTTGTGTCCTGTTTCTCTACATAGTCTCCCTGCCTGGCAACACATGTAGTCCACCAGTTTACAAGATTTTGGATGCCCGCCAGGCAGAAGCTTTTGGGTGTGGCCAGTAACCAGGTTTGCATCATCGACATCCCCTCATTGTCATCTGCAAATCTCTGACCCCACAAATCTACCTTCAGTAGGCCAAACAAATGAAAGCCCAATAGTGCCAAGTCTGGGCTGTACTCTGGATGTTTCAGTGTTTCATACCGCAGTCTGTAGAGTATCCACTATATGGGCAGCCATGTGGAACGGGCCTACGCAAAGAAAAAAGGAATAATACCTCGTTGCTCTTCTTTGGTGCATGTTAACAGTGCTGTGGCCATCTTGGTTGAGCTGTTGCACATACACATGCTGCTAAATCGTCACAACATATACTTTGCATACTATTCCATGCAGACTATATGATACAGTTGCCTTTACTTAATTGATCGGCAGTCATAGAAGGAAGTAGAAAGATAGGACACGCTAGATCAGTTTTTCTCAACATTTACAAGAATTATATAAATACACTTGGAAACACAAGAAAGATAGTTTTATTTAGGTGTACAAGAAATATGTTACTGCATTTGATTGCAAAAAAAGTCTTAAGTTGTACAAGAAAAGTATAGCTACATTTGATTGCTCAAGAAATATATAATTTTATTTGGGTTTACAAGAAATATGTAGTTACATTTGGTTGCACAAGAAATATATAGCCCAAAAAAAGTGTACACCTGTAAAAGAACAGTAATTATTTGTTATACTTTTTATTCAGCAACGCCTGAGCCACAGATGGCAGCTGAAGATGCAGAGGAGAATTGATAAAACATACACAACCTCTTTTGTAGATGGTTGAGAACTAGTGTATTTTTGAAAATACTGGATGACAAAATCCAGACGAAGATCCAAGAATTGAGACGAAGGTCTGTTATTGAAAATACTGCATGACAAAATCTTTTTAAAAAAAGATCGTTTTGGAACATTGGGGTTTTGACTTTGCAGAATTCAAGACAGAAGGTATTTGAGTGACAGATGACTTCAACTTTAGTCTGAAGTACGATGAAATAAATTGTACACATACATAATATTCAGCATGAAATCTAAATTATGGTTATTCTTGTTGCCAGATTGCAGATTTGTTGTTATGCCTACTTAGTGCTGATCAGTGTTGTGTTTAATTATCTGGCATTATAAAAGATGTTGTACTTTTCTGTATTGTCTGCAAGATGTTATTTCTTTAAAAACAAATGTGTACACAGTTGATGTGAGCATCAGCAAGTCTCCATTTATGATTTCATTTTAAACTAATGAAGATGTATCTTTCTTTCCCTTAAACTGTTTGATTTTTCATACAGGCATTCCATTTTATCATCAAAATCAGACAACATTTTCCAGTGTGCCATTTCACCTTTACTGGAGACCAGTACTTGAAGGCTAATGTTCCTTGTATTTGAAGGCTGTTTATTTCAAGCATTTTTAACTTGAGGCTGTATACATAGCCGATAGTTATTACTAAACTGCTTATAATTTTGTTATTGTCCTCTTGATAACAGCGTTGGTTGTGAATATTTTAAAATCAAAACTTGAATAAGTGAACCGAGATCTTATAACCGTTACTAAAAGAAATCCTACTCCAACCTTTAACCCTGTCATCCTGGAAACTCTTTAAAAAAGAGGTTGTGATCCCGCAGGAGTTCCCTAAAATTATCCTAGTTTAAAAAAAAAAATTACATTTGACATAAGTCACTAATTTTGTTTGAAGTTTCACAGAATTGTTTGAAAATATATTTATCTACATTTAAACAAAAGATTTCCTGAAATATGTTAAGGGAGTATCAGTTAACACAAATAGAGTGAAGCATCAAATAAAAAAGTCTCCTGGAGCCTAGAAAATATGTTATGGGGTGACTCGTGCCTCGACCCAGTGATCTGTGTCCCTGATACTATGGGGAAAATTATGGTGTCAAAATGGCTTTATAAAATCCCATTAGTTTCACAGGAAAATCCCTAATATTATTTTTAGTAAATATATTCATATCCTGACCTTCTAAACACTGTATGGTGCAAACACAGCCTATAGAAATAAATAAGCTTCTAAAAACGTCACTATAGCTGCCTTTTTGAAGTGACTCTCACAAGGGATTGGACAGCCAGATGTGTCTGTTTTTTTTGGCTTCTTTGGGCGACAGGGTCAAGAGTTCATATATGATCAAAGTTTAAATATCAGGTATTAATGTTTACATACTTTCCTTAACAAACTTTCCTTAACCTATTTATTCCTCAGTGCTATTTAGAAGTAGCAGATCATAGGTCACATTTATTTTGAAATATTTTGTCCACTACTTGATGTTGGTCTTGTTCGTGAACTTGATGGTTTTGCCCATTGCATGCTTCAGTCACAGGAGGTAGACAGGAAATATAGATAGAGGAATGAACGAACAAACAACACTCTGTTTTTGAAGGGTCACAAATTGGGCACTCATCTTTCACACAGCAATTTTATTTTATCTTTAAAGCATGTTAATGTTCATATAGCAATATGCATAATATGGGTATCAAGTTAAAAACAGTGTGGGAGACAATCAGCAAAGATTTGTTTTCAGCATTTTGTCATGGCATAGAAGGATTTCAGCATACAAACATCACAGTATGCTGAGAAGCATAATAACCAACGCCAGTGAGCAAGGCAGTCGATAATTGTAAGTTCAAATATATTGTTACAAAATAGTTCTAATAATACACTTTAATGAGGTTTTATCCCATATTTTAGCGCCAGTCACATAAAAATGGTGACAGCATTTTTCGTTTTTATGGTTTGTCAGCAAAACATTAATAACTCTGTGTCCCAATGTCGGACGCAATTTTTGTTGTTGTTTTAATGCCCTACCCTGGCTATTGCTGGGAGAGCCCTAATATAACCCAGCCTTTGGGTTGAACAGGGTTTCTGGGACCTGTCCCCGGGGGATCCTCATCTGAATGGGGGCACTTTTTGTCACTGGGTATTTATCCCTCGGGGTGATGTCCTGGTGGGGTTGAATGTCAATCTGTCATCAAAGCAAATTTTTTTTTTGTGTCCCTGCAGTTTAAAAAAAACGGGGCAAAATTATTGAAAACACTGCCATATTTTTGCTGCAGTGATGAAATTTAGCAAAACTGTTGTCGTATATTTTAGCTTGCAATAAAATAAACAAAGGATTTCTACAAGACATTGACTGTGATAGGTAAATGTTGACTGCAATAGTCCATTGTTGGCTCCAGTTTTTGTGTGTTTTTTTTATATGGGGACAATCAGTTGTTTTTTTTATTAAGTAAATAGCATTTAGTACTGATTACTCACGTCCTATATTACCTTCCGAATGACATACTGCGATGAGTTAGACACCCAACCAATATTGTTGAACATGTTTACAAACGTATGTAATACTTCCTCACATTCTAAGGAAGCAGTTTGTTTAACCTCACCCCCAACCCACCTGCACACGGCCCCTTTCCAGCCACTTACGAAAATCTGCAATGAAAAGTCAGATGGTATATTTTTTTACATTTCTTATATGTTTGAATTTTCAGGTGGCAATTTTAATATTAGATATATTTTACACAGTATTTTGTATGGAGTGGTTGATTTCTGTACTGTTATTGTTGCTGAGAATTTTGAATACCATCAAATACTTTCATCCCACCTGCTAATGAAGACAGTATGCAGCTGTGAAATCCTTTCTAAAAATGACTTTATATTTTACTTATCTTTGTGCAAAGTTATGTCAGGTCTCAAAATTCTTGATTTTACTCTTGTGATTTATTCTGTAACTGCTGTGATTTATTTTGTTAGCTCTTATTTATCTTCTAACTGTTATTGTCTATTATT